TGCAGAAGAACTGAAAAGAAGAGCTGCACAAGAAGAGCAACAAAGGAGAGCTGCACAAGAAGAACAACAAAGGAGAGCTGCAGAAGAAGAGCAACAAAGAAGAGCTGCACAAGAAGAGCAACAGAGAAGAGCTGTGCACGAAGAGCAACTAAGAATAGCACAAGAAGAAAAACAGAGGGTTGCTGAAGACCTTACAAGAAGAGCTGCACAAGAAGAGCAACAAAGGAAAGCTGCACAAGAAGAGCAACAAAGGAGAGCTGCACAAGAAGAGCAGCAGAGAAGAGCTGCACAAAAAGAGCAACAAAGAAGAGCTGCACAAGACGAGCAACAGAAAAGAGCTGTACAAGAAGAGCAACAAAGGAGAGCTGCACAAGACGAGCAACAGAGAAGAGCTGTACAAGAAGAGCAGCAAAGGAGAGCTGCACAAGAAGAGCAACAAAGGAGAGCTGCACAAGACGAGCAACAGAAAAGGGCTGTACAAGAAGAGCAACAAAGGAGAGCTGCACAAGATGAGCAACAGAGAAGAGCTGTGCATGAAGAGCAACTGAGAGTAGCACAAGAAAAACAAAGGGCTGCCGAAGAACTGAAAAGAAGAGCTGCACAAGAAGAGCAACAGAAGAAAACTACACAAGAAAAGCTACAGAAAGCTGCAGAAGAAGAGCTACAGATGAGAGTAGCTCAAAGAGAGCAACAAAGGAGAGCAGTTCAAGAGATTCAACAGAGGAGGAGAGCAGCTTTGATTGAGGAACAACGACAGATTGAGGAGAAGATACTTGCCAATACTGAAGCAGAAAAGAAAAGAAAACCAAGAGAAGGAGATAAAGTTATGCATATTTCAGAAGAGGAAAGGATCGAACACATACAAATGGAAGAGCCAGACAGACAAAGGCAGAAAAAGGAAGAATGGATGAGAACTCAAACAGGGGAGGCAGAAATGAGAGCTGTAGAAAGAGTAAACATCATAAAGGAAGAAAAGCAAGCCAAAGAGAGACCTAAACTTCATGAAAACAGCCAAGAAGCACTGAAAAATGAGATGAGAGTGGAAAAAGAAGGCATGCTAGCTCAAAGAGAGAATAACATCAAGGCTAACAAGAGAGAAGAAGAAAAGTTAACAGCTGACAGTGAGAAGGTGAGAGATAATCGGAGAGAGGAAAAAAGAGTAGCACAGGTGGATGCTCTCCAGTACTATGCCATTACTTCAACAGAATCAGAGACAAAACAAAGAGAAAGGCAGCTATGCTCCCCTTCACCTTCCCAACAAAGAAACAATCTATCAGAAAATGAGTCAACTGAGTCCCATGGGTCCCACACGAGATCTTATAGACCCCATGCCCCTGCATCTCCAGCTCCATCTCTGCCCCGATCCAACACTTCCTCACCTGCTCTAGGAGTCAAGCCCTTAATGTTCAGAGTAAAGGACAACACCTTCAGAGGTTCCACTTCCACCAAATCGGTTAAGCCACGATTCTATAAGAGCTTTGGAGAAGATTTCCGGGTGGGTTCACCCAGTGACAGGGGATTAGAGAAAAGAGAGGAAGGACAGGAGAAAATAAGACACAGTGCTGGAACTCCTGTCCAGCATCACACAGGTTTAAATAGACTCACTGCTATCAGTGAATCTTCAACTTTCCAGTCAGCATCTTCACCACAGGATCACTCAGCCCCTATCCCTCATTATAGGCCCTATTCCAGGAGAAGCATTGCTATGGAGGAAGATGACTCACGCTCTCTTATCAGCAATATGTCTGAAGATATGGAAAGTTTTGCCACCAGTGCAGCAGACCTAGCAGACATACGAGGTCTTTATGACTATGAGAGACCAGAATCAGCATGTAGCTTCAGCAGTGATGTGTCCCGTTCTTTGGGCAAGCCTCCAGCTGTTCCCCCAAAGAGCGAGAAAGCCCTACGGAGGGCTCAAAGGCTAACTACCCGGAGAATGAAGAAAGAGTTGTCCAAAGTTGGCGAAGACAGCCTTTCTGGAGTTGAGAAAGAGGTCTCCACTATTCGTTCCTCTTCATCCACTGAGGTACGATCCTCTAATCGCCATGCTATGGCTTCCCCTCATTTTTCCTCACCTGTCTCCCTTGCTAATGCTCCTGTGTCGGGGTCCAGCTTGCCTTCCACCCATACAGAACACCACTCTTTCCACGCTTCCCCCCATGCCACTGGTCCTATTTCTATCCCTCATACTGCCGCCGTTTCCCTCCCTGGTGTGTCTCATTATGCTACTGGCCCTGCTTCCCATACTGCTGCTCCTAAGACTGTTGCTCATGTTCCCTCTTCTCCCACTTTCCACCAAGCCCACCACCCAGCTCCAGTGACACAGTATCATGTAGAGTCAAGCTATCCCCAGGCCTACCCTCTGACCCAGCGCAAGGTGCTGCAAGACCCCGGTTCTGGTCAGTATTTTGTAGTGGACCTGCCTGTTCAAGTGAAAAAGAAGACTTTCTTTGACCCACAGACAGGAAAGTATATCCAACTGAATGTGCGCGAGTCTGGCAAGAGCATCTCGCAACCTCAACCCCAGCAAACATGCCCACAGCCTGAGATGCAGATCAAGTCCCAGCAACAGCCCTTCTCCCAGACTTTTCCTGCTGGCAAACCCTTTGTGCTTTATCAAGGGTACCACGGTTATCCCCAACACTACCAGCCTGCAAGTATCAATTCCCTGCATCCCAACAAGTCGCAGGTTCCTGCAACTCTCCACCAGAACCAGCAGCCTGGACATCAGGCTTTTGAACTGGGACAAAACTCTGATGGGCATCGCTACAGTCCAGAGAAGACCCCGTACATGGACACAGTTAATGACAAAGACAAAACCTGTAACACAATTTACAGCACACATGGCTCATATGAGTCGTTCCCAGAGTGTGACACAAACAGCCAGCTTGCAGGAAGCTCAGTTTGTGAAAATGATAACTCAGCCCACTCGCAATATAATCCTCGTGATATAATAGCTATGAGTGAACTGGAGGACTTTATGGAGGTGTCTGATTGGTGAGAGTAAAGACTGATATTAAATATTTAATAAAGTAAAGAGTGAATGGATCATAATATACATGATTTTAAGTGGTTGCAAATGACTTTTTCAAGTGAAAATAGTCTCAGAATGTTTTTGGTTTGTAGTTTTAATAAGTCTCTATAGCAAACTGTTATATTGTTTCTGCTTTTGGAGATTCGCTGTTGATTTACTTGTTTTACAGAGTTCACCATTCCATTTGACTTTGAATGTGAGAAGCTAAGCTATGCTTCTTGTGTAAACAGTGTCATTAGCACTGCCTGTTCAACCTAATTGCATTTTATTATATATCATACGGTATATCAAAAGTTGTTTGGAAAAACCTTTGCTACTGAGAAGCCGGCTTTACCTTTAAGCACAAATTGGAGATTTTGAGATTCAGAAGCATAGTTTTTTTTAATTCAGCCATGTATGGAGTGAAAAAATGGTGATGTGGCTGTTGCTGTTTTTAAGAATTAATATCATACAGTAGTCTATTTTTTAAGCTGAATGTTTGTAAAAATTGTTTCTGGGTTGCTGTGAAACAGTAGCGTGACATGGGCTGAATCAGATAATAATCAATTAATCATTTCTCATCACGGTGGCTGTATTTTAAACCTCTTTGTAAAAGTTAGAAATAAACCAAAAGGAAAAGATAAAAAGGTTCATGCAAGAGGCTGATTTTATTTTACAACCATAATATAATGTAATATAATGACATCTTGTTCTGACTTCTGAAATGTACCCTGGGCCTGAGTGATTCAAAATGAAGAGTCTTTTTATGATTGCATAAGACAATTACAATGTGCTATTGTAATGTGCAGTAATATGTCCTGAGAGATAAAGGAAAATAACATTTTGTTGATGGCATTTATTTTGTGTCCTTTTTACTGTATGAAGCAATCCAAATGTTTAAATCTTTTAATATTATACCCACGAGAGTGTGAAAATGTGCCTTCTTTTATTTCCCTTGATCCACACACTCCAATTAAATGTACGGAGCTGTGGTGAGAATGCATGCCTATAGTCTCCAGTTTAACATAACCATACTGCTGATCCCCTGAGAAGCAGTAACCTGCTTTGACCACTGTGGGGCAGAGCAGAGTGAATCATCTGCTGGAGCAAAGACCTGAACTTAAGACCTGGGAAGAGAAAAACCTGAAGGAAACTCTGAACACAAGATTTTGTTAAGAAGTCAAAATCAGAAGTATCATTTTAACACATGATCCTCAATTTATAAAACTTGTACTGTGGCTTAACCTTATATTACAGCTGTCTGTCTTTGCAAAAAAAAACAAAAAAACAAACAAACCAGTAGATTCCCACAGACTCAGTTCCTCTTAAGAGAACACTACATACGACTTTAAGGGTTAAATCTGTTGTGTAATTCCATTTGGCTTTGGCAGAGCTCAAAGCGCCAGCAGAAGCCCTGCCTCAGCAGTTTAGCCTGCCCAATAAAGCAGCAGGCTTCATACCACTGGGACAGTCTGACAACCACAGCCAGAGACAAACCCATGCCACTCTGTCCAGCAGCTGGGAGAGGTCCCAGCACAGACAGACACACACACACACACACGGGGACAAATGTGCCTCGACATAAATGCATAAACACATGCATACATACACAAAAATATGAACCTCACACAAATAAACATCAGCATTTGGCCTTTACTCCGAGATGCAAGATGAGCATTATTCCTGGTGACTGAGGTGATGGAAATGCATTTTCAGCAGTTTACTGTGTATGCTTCTTAGAACTGCACACAATGTCACACACACGCGCGCACACAAACCACGAGACTTGACCATCACTTTGGAGTTCTGGGGGTTTTGGGCCACGGTCCAGGACACACTCAGAACACAGGAACACAGGAAATGACATTTCCTACGTTTTGCAGGACACACAAGAGAAAGAGAGTGAGAGAGAGACAGCCACAGGGAGAGGGAGGCAGAGAGTACTGGGAGAGAGTGGGAGTTTCTAAGTGGGAACAGAGCCTTTACTGTTTCATATTACACAGAAAAGAGGAGAAAGAGGAGAAGAGTTAATGGTGGGTAAGGGCTCTGGTGGGTTGTGCAGTCAGGCTCTGTTTTGAATGTAGCTGCTTGTGTAAGTTGCTGTGCAGTTGTCTGGGTTTATGGATTCACTGACTGTGGAAAATGTACTTCTCTGTAGTGATCCTTGTCCTGACTAAGGCTCTGGTCACAGGTAAGTGTGCCTTCTTTACCGCAGCATACAGCAATGAGAAAGTGAGCAAGCAGGCGTAAAAGAGGCAATATGTGTTTGAGTTGTAACTTGAGCTGTCATCACACACCACCGTCAAAGTTTCAGTGCATTATGGACCTTTGGTAAGAAAGTAATAGAAAGCATACAACTACAGTTATCATCTAGAGGTCATCAGATCTACAATAATCACAATTTGCAAGTGCATTTGTTATTGTGTTAATAGTGTGGTGCTGAAAAGTTGTTTACAAAAAAAAGAGCAAAAAAAAAAACAACCAGTTGTGGCGTTAGGGTGGTTTGTTGTCTGTGATCAGAGAAAACCTCAGTATAGTTTTTACATATAATTTGTGTCCTAAAAACTGCTGTAAAGCAGACTTACAACTCGTGTTTTATGTCCTATATATTTTTTCAGCTGTGCATAATGTTGTTTGAAGTACTTCAGCTGCTTTTGTTGCCACATTAAATAGTGTTAGACAAGCCCCAGAGAGTCTAAGGGAGATTCCCCAACAAACAAGACCAAAAAAGAAAAAAAGAAAAAGAAAGAAAAGAAAAGAAAAAATTAAGCAAAAGCAGCATGGAAGACCAGATGGTCCCTGTTATCCTTCCATGTTTCTCCTTGCCTGTTCTGGGTTGTTCCATACCGAGGATGAATGTTTCCCACCTGTAGCTACTCTTTGCCTGTCTGGTCACACATATTGTGTCCAGACCTCTTTGTCTCTGCCCTGGCTCACAGCAGACTAAACCAAGAGCACATCCAGGAAAGTAAAGTCATACTTTAGCTGTTTCTTTTGCAGTGCTTTTACGCTTCCTTGCTAAAACAGAGTGAATACACACACAATCATGGGAAGATGCACAAATAGAACCAGTGATTGTTTGAAGCTGTGACAGCAGACAAACACACTTTTAACTCTAGTTTATTACTAATTTAGAAAGAAGGATTGAGTCATATAAGCGTTCTGTGAGGCTTATGGTTTGATTTAATTTTATTCTGACACACATTTACCTAGATATCTTACTCAGAAAGTATTACACAGTAACAGAAGCAGACATTTTGGAAAAGGAACATACTGAGTAGATTGAAACTAAATGATATATTTAAAAAATCGAATTAAAATGAAAGCTGTATACATTTGTGCATATATAACCCAAAGCGTTTGTGGGGGTTTTTTGTCAACAGAGGTATGCCATGCTCTTAATGTGACAGTGACCCCTGGGCCTGTCGTCTTGGCAACAGAGAACGACAACCTGACACTGTCCTGTCTGGTATCTCAAAGGAAGAGGACCACCAGTGTCCTGATTCTTCACTGGTTCTTCTCTCCTCTAACCACTCCTACTCCTGTGCCTCCTGCTTCCCTTCCACCCAACTCTCCTCCTGTACTCGACCACCCGCAGTTTCTGATTGTAAAGATGGGCATAAGGAGAAGGAAGCTGTATGGGAACTACACCTACCGTTTCCCACAACCAAAGTTTCATCTGCACGAGAAAACTGAGGGAGAGGTGTACCAGTTGCGGATTCTCAGCGTGACTGGGTCGGACCAGGGTTTTTACAGCTGTAAAGTTCAGGAGATCCGCAAACACAGAGACATATGGAGAATCACTTCCAATGGTACCAGCACCACACAGCTGACAGGTAAAAAGATGTATTCCCTCACATCTCTGTGCCATATTTCTTAAAATACAGACCCATGGACTCATCTGACTTATGAGGTGGATGCTGAGAATTGAGGACTTGAGACTTGTCAATGTTCCTAGTTATTGTTCTGTATTCATATACACATGTAATCATATGTATATGATTACCTTTATTTAAGCTGGTGATTCGTTTATTTATTTGCATATTAAAACTATAAAACTGTTTCAGGAGATAATTAAAAAGAATATTTTCAGACTGCTATTTTTCAAAGAATTCCCTTAGCCCACATTCGTTTTAGTAAAAATGTCAACCAAGTTATCTGGAAATAAAAACAACCAAATTAAGGAAGGGCCACAATTTTCTTCTACTAAGAAACAAAGATTGTGCAGAAATGTGTCCTCTAACTTTAACTTACAATATTTGCAGACGGTCATGCCTGTATGTTTGAGTGCGACCCCAGTCCTCTGGCATTTCCATCTCAAAACAATGAGCTCACACAGCCAAACCACACTTAACAAAATCCCTGCCTGTGTGTGTGTAAGGAGTAAAAGGTAGGGTGTTGTTGAGTTGGCAGGGTTCAAAAACTCTGATGTCAGCATTTTGGGTTTACTTTTATGCAAGCCTCAGGAAAAAAAATAAAAAAATACTGGAGAGTTTAGTTGCAGCTTATTCAGTGTGCCAACAAACAAAACAAAGAGAAACGGGTTAAGAAATCATTTAAATCACATGAAGTAATAAATATTTCTTCAATATTTATTTTTATCTGTGCAACACACTGGACCGATCATCGGTGAGATGCACTGGGTGAAGGGGTTTACTAGAGATTTATGATGCTTTGCCACACTTTGTGGAGGCCGTGTGTGACTCAGTTTACCTTTCAATAGTTTTACACAAGAAAAGCGCAGAGGTTCGAGTCAGACAGAGCCTGACAACGCCCTGCCCTATATTCAGGGCAATGTCCCACTAAGGAAGCCACACAACCTCAGGCATCTCCGCCATGCATTGACCACAGAACCAGAAACAGAAGACCTGACATTATGAGGGTAAACAAAGAGGAAAAAAAATTATATTGAGGGAACCCCTTAGTCTGCAGATCTCAGTCTGCAGGGCATAAAGCAAAGACTACACCCTAAAGAGGTCAATGGACTACTTTCATTCACAAAACTCCAACCTCTTCTTTATATCTAGTTCCCAGCTTCAGACCTTTAATAAGAAAGTTTGATTGCTTCGTGCTGATTTTCTAAACTGGTAAACTTTCGAGACACTGTGTTCAAGTTCACTGAGCTGCCAGTTTCAGTGGTTGGTAATTTGTTTTCCACATTTACCTTCACAGCTGAAAGACCTCAGATAAGCCTAAATTTGGACCTGATGGTGTAACAGGGGTATAGGGTATTTACATTTCACATAAACGTATCTCTATTGGTATGATGTAGAAACATTTGTAGTGAGCGTTTACATTTAATAGCTCCCTTACAGAGAAGCTGGTGACCTCAGTGTGTTTGCTCTCATCAGATGTGCGGTTTAACTGGTGGTTAACCTCAGCCCAGATTCCAGCCAATTGTAACTGTCGCCTTGTCTGGTGAACAAGACTGGTAAAGTTTGCCTGCTTCACAAGTCTTTATCTTAGCTTAACAGTGCAAAGACATGATAGCCTGGCCCACCACACCTTTATTAGTCTTAAAAGAAACTTATATTCATGGCAAAGATAGAATGTGGTAAGAGCATTTTTAAAAACAAGTGACAATATTTGATGACTTGGAAAAATATTTGTGAAAAAAAATTCTTCCATTTCAAGACAAAAGAAGAACAAAAACATGATTATTTACTTTTTATACCTTTTTCCATCCTAGAAAGATTCCCTAACCCACAGTGTTCCACATTAATTGGGTGTTACTGAAACAGAACAGTGAAGACACATTGACAATTTTGCATGTAGTTCAGTGGTCTGGAAACAGGCTAAAAGTCAATTAGAGTTAATATCTTACAATATGCATCAACCTGTGTGGAAAAGTCATATTAAAATCTCATTATGGAGAGCAGAGACAGTCTTTACTCTCCTCAACCTCTCCCTAAATACCCCTGACCTGTTAATAAGGACAAAGAGAACACTGTTGATAGCTGATATGTGGAACAATGGGGAACCCCCAAACATGGTCCAAGAACAGCAACACAGCTACTATATGTGTATATGTGTGTGTGTGTGTGTGTGTGTGTTAATGTTGTGTTTGGCTGATGGTGAAGCAGACTCTCGCTTTATGACAGTGGTTTGGATATTTCCAAGAACCACTGGGGTTTGTTGTACAGAGCCACAGCCCTCAGACATCAACAAATATAAAGATACTCAGTCTGGGCACAGTTTCCATCTTTTATGTACAGTTTCTGATGACATTTTAAAATGTCTGTTTCTACAGTGCACTTTATACCCGAGGATGGTAGAAGTGAAGGATTGTGGCTTTTGTTTGCAGGTACTGTTCTCAGCTCTATTCCTAATTCTGTCTCATTTACACATCTTGCTTAAATAAAGCTTATTCTATTCTGATGTCTCTGTTTTTAGATGTGTATCTGTGTGCTGTGCTGATCTGCTCACTGGGCCTGCTGTCCATCTTCCTATTCACTCTCATCCTAATCTGCCAGTACTTCTACAGAAGACACAGGCTCAAATGTAAAACCACTTGTTTTCCCAAAGCAACTGTAGATTTATGGCTTTATGTTTCCCACATTTGTATCTAAAACAAACCGTCACATCAAATGTTTGTCTTTATTGCTTCTTTCTCTACAGCCAGTTACCCTCTGGTCAAATGTCCAGAAAGCAGGTACTAGTATGTTCTTTATTTAGAAATCAGAAAGCTGGGGGGGAGACAAACACAGTATTTGCCAATTATATATATGCAAAACAAACAAACGTTATGTTGAGCTTCAGAAGTATTTTTAAATGTCTATTTATTTGCACATTTTTAAAATAGTATTTTTAGCTTTAATATAAATTAAGATCAACTTTATCTACTCCTTACAGCTCAGGAGAGACTGTAACAAGCTCTAGTAGTTGCTCCAGTTCCTCCCCAAGCGCACAAAGGAGAGACATGAGACAGAAAACCGACCGAACACAAGCAGTAGCACCACCTAAGCTACCTGAAGAGCCTCCACTGCACATACCAGCCAAAGGTAAAATGTCCTGCAGTGTCCTTCACAAAGTAAAATATAAAGTAAGGTTTCAGATTTTAAACCTAAGATGAAACATACTAGAGGTACCAGAGTCACAGAGTGGCGTGAGAGGCCCTAGCTCCAAGAGCAGGAATTTGGCAAAGAACAGTAAATTACAGTAAATTGTCAGCAAGCAGAAAAGCAGGAATTAAGCTTGCACAAAACAGTCAGAGAATGTGAAATTCCTGCCTAGTGTGTTACGAATTAAATGAACACTGTCACTGAAAACAGCAGAAGAAAGAATTCACGTCCGTTTTTAAACAACACTGTGATTAGGTTTAACACAAAGTGCTTGTGAAGGACAATTTTGACTTCAACCACAATTTAATATTTGCCAGTTCATTCCTCCTGGCTGCTATTTTGAGTCAATTAAGGTTGTCTCCGTTTTCAGTGCCCGTTGCTGCAAAGAGACCTCGAAAGCCCAGAAGGTTGAAGACTCAGCCAAGGAGATCTGCCACTGTAAGTCTCTTCCTTCAAGCACAAAACCTATGTGAACTAAAACTATGAAGATCAGTTATGAAACACAGGTACTTAATACCTTTAGAATGTATTTATTAATGTTTCGAAAAGATTTTTTTTCTGCGAGCACAGTTGTTATTGAGATGCATGCAAGAGGGAATTTGTCTCACGACTGCATGATTGTCTACAGCAGTTTATTGCCATGTCTTCATTCAGTTATGAGCTTGATAATTCTATTTAGCTTTATTGCTTCTGAAACACAATTATTTATTTATAGTGCTTCATTGGTTTTATATCTTCAATAAAAGTGTCAAACAAGTGTGTACAGAAGAAAACTACTCAAACTAAGCATCATCAGTATTTCGTCTAATGGCGTTCTTGTAATTTTGTACTGAAACGAAGCACTGGAGATGTGAGCTTTTCTTTAGCACGAACATGCTGATTAGATTAGTGCAGCCAGGAGGATCTGAGGATTTTGGATAGGGCTCCTGTTGTACCAAATGTTTTCCGGGTAAACTAAATGTTCCAAGAGGTCCTGAAAACAACGTAAACAGATTCTGCTGCTGGGAAACAGAAAAGATGTTTACCATGGAAGTTGACAAAAACTACAATTTGCTGACAAGATGAAATGCTGACAACTTACTTGTCTGTGACTATTTTTCCAGTTGTAAATTCTGAAATTGTTGCACATATATACAGCAACAATTCTTTTTTTGTAGCTGAACGTACTTTTACCCAATTCCTCTCTCCTCTAGCCTCGAATATCACAGGAAGAAAGTCTGACATATGCAGAGCTGGAGCTTGTCCGACCAAGACAGGAGCCCCCGGTCCCTTCCACCCCCGACCCCACACCCTCCAGCCCCGACACAGTCTATGCTCAGATCCTCTTCCAGGAGAAATACCTGTAAACATGTAAGCCTGGTACCTCCTGCAGAGATCCAGCTCTCCGATCGGAACTGTGCAGCAGCCGAAGGACTATATTTATGAACTGTTAGTATGATGTTTGTTTTCTTTTTTGGGTGCAAGTATGCCATGTGTGGGTAAATGGGAGGCTTGTGCTTGCTGTGTTCAGTTCCAGTTCCAGCACAGCAGCTTCGGGTCTCATAACTTTGTTTCTTTGTTTGTTGGCATTGCTGGCCTGTGAGCCAGATGTTTATAGAATGCTCTTACCATTAACTATTCTTTATAAACTCAGGAGACTGTGTGGGAAGAAACTGTTGTCCAGGCTCTCTTACTGCAGTGTAATAAGGCACTGTAAAAGTCAGTTTTGAAATGCATTTATGATTACAGTACTAATACATCATATTAAGAGATGCTAAAGAGTACAGTGTTTGATTTCTGTAAATACAGTTTTTAAGTGCAGCTTTTCTCTAAAGAAGGGTGGATTCCACTTTGCTTACGAATCTGGAAATTTTAGACACATATACAAACATAACAGGAATGTTTGATAATCTTTCAAAGTTGGGAAATCTCCTTTCTGCGTCTAATGATGAAAGTTACACAAGATTGAAACCATTCAACTGTCTTTCTTGTGGTCAAAATGCCTTGTTGAGGTTGGAGAACAGACAGACTGCTTCACACTAAGGTGCACAGAAAAGCGTTTCTGAATGCTGAAGCAGCCATTCCTGTTGGCTATGAACAGGAAACTGAGGCTGCAATTCATAGGAGCTAACCAAAATTGCACAACAGAAGATTTGAAGAAAGTTGCCTGGTCTCATGAGTCTCAATTTGTCCTGCAACATTTAGATAGAAGCCTCAGAATTTGGTGCAAAAAGATGAAAGCATGTCTTCATCCTGTCTTGGATCAATGATTCGAGTTTGCTGCTGCTGGTGTAACGGCATAGAAGATATTTTCTTGTGTTGTTGCTGAGCATGCCAATGCCTTTATGATCACAGCATCTTCTGATAGCTGCTTCCAACATGGTACAAAGATCAAATCATCAAATCGAGTTCAACCCAACAGTGCACTTTGGGTATGTGGTGAAACCGGAGATTCTGATCGTGGATGTGCAGCTGACTGCGTGACGCTATCATGTCTCTGAGGACATTTTGGTCTATATTAACACAATAACATGGATAAGATGAAACATTTAATAAACTGGTGTAATGGATCCAATACTTTGCCACCTTCAGACAAAAGGCAGACCAACAGTTTCCAGTATTTATGCTAAGCTAACAATCTAATATACGTATCAATCTTCTCATCCATCAACAATAAACATGCATGATTCCTAATAAAATAGTAGAAAGAATAGAAACAGCACAAAGTGCCTCTAATTTCAAAGTGTACTCACTGTGGCACAAGAATAAATAGCAAATATAAATCTTAGAAGCAGCAGACATAAAGCTCAGGAAAGGTGAAGGGTGCAGGCCATTTTGTGAAGGTCACTGTGTGAAAAATGGGATGAAGATGGAGGAAGAGAATGATGCAAATCCACACCTTTCCCTCGGTGAGTGGGAGAGATTGAGAGAGACCATCATCCCCCACAGTTCATACTCACTGACTAGAATGAACCCGCTAATGACTACATTTATTCAAATTAGACTAATTGTAATCATGGTTAATAATTAGCTTTACAGTGCATTATAATTGGGTTAGGCTACAAGATGGTTCTGCCTAGGTGCAATAATTTATTTGATTTAATTATTCTGAGGAACCCAGTGGTTTGACATTTCATATCATAAAACCAGCGATGTAGAGAGAATGGAGATAGCCGTTGTCTTTAGAGAAGGTCACTGCTAGCTCTCTGGGAAAATTATGAGGACTATTTTCCACTCTATTAAGCTACTCCACTTAGCACAATTAGCCACACACACAAAGGTTAAAGAGAGAGACCTCCTCCTTTATGATAGAGAGGAGTGGCGCATGTGCATGAGAGAGCAAGTAGGAGACAGAAAGCAAACAAACCTCCACAATCAACAGCCTAACATGCCCACTTATTCACTGGAGTGCAAGTGTGATAATGTAAGTGTTGCTATTACACTTTTCATCTGCAAGTTGGGACGAGTTTCATACCACATCTTGTGAAATTTGTCAGATACTCTGTTTATTTGGCATCTAATATCTTTGGGGATAAAGACACACACACACACACACACTTAAAAATCACCCATGATAGACATAATATGATCACAGAGAATTTAAGGCGGGTAGTGGTACAAAAAGGGCTGTCCAAAAAACCCTCATAAATACCATATTACAAAGCAAAATGAAAGCACATTGTGAAACTCAAAATAGTAAAGCCAGCAAACTATTCACATCAAACTAAACAGCCTGAATTTTTCTTGCCACAAACATTTACCAGACCAAAACATTACAACGCTTACATGATTAAATGCTGACTTATTTGTCTCTTCACAACAGTGTTTGCTTGACTTGCAGTTTTTCTCAGAAATGTTTAAGCGAAAAAGCTGCATTTCTCAGGAACAGTTTATGAAGCGCGCATGCCCCTGGTCATCATTCACACACTCCTTCTCATGTTCAGTTTAGCAGTGCCCATTTCAACCACAGGCTTCTGCTGTGGGCCCTAGAAAACTCTGCTAAAGCAGTAAGGGTCCATTTAAATGACTGTACGAGTGTTTCTCTCATCCGAATCCTTCCACCAACTCTGGAAAAATTTAGCCAGTGTCCTTCTGGTTTAACTCGAATTAAATTGAATAAAATCCAACACAGAATTCAGTCAAAAATCAAGGAGACCAGCAGAAAAAGGTTTTGGCAAGTGTCTATCAATAATTTTATTCAAATATACTGAAATTCTGTATTTACACACAGAAAAATACAAAATTAAATATTTGTGTAGAAGGTAAAAGTCATGTTTCGTCTAAATGCATCAAATGTTGTAACACTGTTTTCTGAGAAAACACACACACACACACACACACACACACACACACACACACACACACACACACACACACCTGACATACAGCACTTCTGCTGCTCAGCTGCAGCCAGACCTGAGATACTAATGAATTTCCCATCAGAGTCTCTCTGGGAGGATAAAGGGCGTGCAGAAATTGTGTTTTCACTCACACGTCCAGGTGAAAACTTGGCCCCAGGCATCGCCTGCCAACAGAGTAGCGTGAGTCCTGCAAAGAATACAGCAAGGGAAATGCAGAGTTGTGCTGTAAAGCATGCAGTGATATACATACAAAGAGAATTAGAAGCTTTCAAATACTGCATATAATTAAATATAAACTCATACTATTTTTCTTCGAACACAGAGATGAATAAAGTTTAAAGTACAGTAATAAACAGAAACTAAACCCCAGCTGGCATTCCTATGAGTGGGTGCTTTTTATTTACTGTACCTGGACATAGCCAGCGCTGTGATGGCTGGATTATTTTTGTAGCGCCACTGTGACACAGCTTGACTTCTGTTCAGCTCTTGATGTAACACCAGATGTCTCTCCCAGCCTTTAGCCTGGCTGGAGTTGCTCACTGTGGATTCATGAGAATACATTAGCATCTACTTAATAGTGAATTACAGGGCAGTTGTCCACCCCGCCTGAAATCAGAACCTCAGTTGTCCTCCCCACCCCAAAAACCCCAAAAAAAAATTCAGTGTGTATTAAGCGTGTGTCCATCTGCAGTCAGCAGGCTGCAAAAGGGAGAAAAAGCCCTCAAATATAAATGCTTCAGTGTTACGTAAAAACTTGTCTCGATGTAATTGGAAAGCATAATACTCCTATGAGGTGACGCGAGGCTGTAACCAACGTATGCCAAATTGGATCTGGGTATTATTGCTTTCTAAATTATACACGCTCACACACGTCAGCAAAATTACTCATCAGTGTTTACTGCCTCTATGTTTAATAACTTTATAACAACATAATTCCTGCTAGCCCTAATGCTAGTGAGGGATAGGATGAACATTATAAGCTCTCATCTGGAAACCACACTGTCTAGCTCTGAGATGAGCGGTTAAAAATAATCATCTCACTTAAGAATTTATCTAATTAGATAGCAATGGTTCTTTCTTCGTCTTCTTTTTTTTTTTTAAAACACTATAAATAATGATGCTCTTTGTGTGCAGTTGCTTTTCAGATGGTTTCACAGTTTTGTTATTGTCGACCACTCTTATTCATTTTATTATGAACACAACACCTGCATGTATATCCCATCGTTCTGCCAGTAACATTACCGTCTCTCTCTGTTTGGTCTTGCCCTGGGGACACAGGCTCTTCTGGAGGGCCAGGTAATTGTGTTCTGGTGTACTCTGCCCTCCATATCTGTATGAGAGACACATAACGAGTAACAAAATCATAAATATAATTCAAGATAATAACAAACACACTCATATATGCACCAACATGCATGCACATACGCACACACACGCACACACACGCACACACACGCGCGCACACACACACAGACACAACGTAATAATAAAGTAATGATACTGTTTATGTGTGCGTGCTGTCCACGTGGCATGGGCAGCCACTCCAAAGTGAAGCACAATTTACTGTTTGCAGCTTTGATTGCAGAAAGGCAACACATGCTTATATTAATCTTAAGCAAAAAACAGTCACACACTGCACACAACTCATATACTGTTATTAATACTTTGACAGACACCCAAGCTGGTACCAGCAAGGCTAATACCAAAGTAATGACTGCCACAGTTGAATACTGTACAGAAACACTCCCACTGATCTATTAGGAGCTATAGAGAATTGTGATAGCATTAACAACAACAACAACAACAACAACAAAAAACATTCTACATCATACACACAACCATTATGTTATTTACCTGCATGAAAAAACAAAAACAAAACTCACCCGTATAACGCCATCCTCACAGCCTGTGATGATGACATTCCTGGAATCCCACTCGTGTCTCTGTGTAAAGCTGATGCACAGGATGTTTGACTGAGGCCCACAGGAAGTGTCAGTGCAGGTCAACAGCTGGCCCTTCATGGTCCACAGGTAGAGTTGCGGTCCAGCACATGACACAATCTCTCCCTTGGACATATTAACATAGTGTTGACGTTCAGGTGTGCAGACATACAGACAGAAAGAGGGAACAAAAGGAGAAGAACACACACTAACAGGATATTCATGCTGTTAACAGTGAGAACCCTCCCTTCCTCATGCTGCGAGGTGAGTGAAGAGGAACAACGTGACGACAGTGAGCCAAAAAATTCAAAGGACAGGAGGAAAAGAGAAGGCGAGACTGAGCAGTGGAAAGAAGGGGACCCAGAAGGTGGACTTACAGTTAGATCATTGATAGCCAGTGCAGAGACGACGGTTGTGTGTCCTGCTAACTGAGTGATATAACTTAGCTCTTCCAAGTCCCACAGGATACAGGTGAGGTCATGAGAGCCGCTCACTATTATGCTGTGGACCTCAGACACAGCGAGACACACCACTGCATCCGTATGACCATATAACGGCTGTGAAGGACAGTGGGGTCAGTATTAGTGCGTGTGTGTGCAAATAAGTTGTCAACAATACTGTTACTTTTCAAGAGTATACAAACATTTGGACAGACGAACCTGTTTGAGTTTCATGTGAGTGAGTTTATCCTTAGTGACTGCCACATCCCACACACAAACGACAGTGCTGGTTCCTGCAGTGATGACTGTGGTCACATTGGGACAGGCGGCGCACAATATGTCTCCCCAGTCACATAAACTCTCACACACTGCAAACGTCTAGAAGTCGACATACATAAAGTGTTAAGAATTACACTATGTTATGATAAAATCTGAACTCAAGTTTAATGAGCATCAACTGAAAAATAATTAACATTAAACACACTTTAACTTGCTCAAAAGAATACAGTTCATGCATCCATGCTCCAACACACCAAAATCAAATGAATGGCTTGTTACTAGGCCTTTACCAAACTTAATGATAATAATAATAATAATAATAATAAACTCTATTTATAAAACACACAAAACCAAGGGTATACCAAGGTGTTTGACAAAATAACATAGGAAAAAAGGAGATGGGAGAGGGAAAAGAGAAGGGACCCGGCACGTATTAAATATAAAAACCATGACAATCATAACACATAAAAGTGGTAGTAAACTTGATGGCATGCTGAACAGGTAATTCAAGAATCAGATTCAGCTGTGTTGGAGTAGGGATGTATCTAAAGCTAAAAAAAACCTTAGATCTCTTAACAGGGTTACCCATACCTCTGATATTCCAACTAGTGAATCTAAGAGGCATGCCTGACCCAGCAATGCTGGGGTCTATATTGCCATCAACCCTGAACACAAATACACCCCAAGTCTCCACAGAACAGAACAAAGGAGACAGCAGTGTACCCCCAAAGTAGCAAAAATGATTCACCAAAGTGACTGGACTAATTGAAGTCTAAATAAAAATAAAAGCGAGAGAGAGGGAAAAACAACCTCTCGCCAACTTCTCTACAGTATAACAGTATGCGCATAACAGTAAACATGTTTTTTTGGGATGTATCTAAGGCTGCAGGACAGTAGCTCTGAAGAACTAGAGTTGGAGACCCCTGGCACAAATCAAGGGGATGGAATTGGCAGGTATGACAAATCAAAACAATTTAAGTTGAGAAGAAACCAGCAGACTCTCATAATACAGTAGTGTGTGCGCTCAGCAGATTTTTAAAAAAGAAAAAAAAAAACTTAGGGTAAATTAATGACACTGTTAATTACTTAGCATAACAGGTCCCTGCCTAATTTGCACTCACTTCCTTCCAATTTTGATTTGAAGATCAGTAGTTATGGAAATGTGTAAAATCCATTGACATTATATAATACCTTTTCTGTGGCATGGTTTCCAAAGGCACAACTGTTGTCAGGAAATCCCCAGCTGAAGAAGCAGCACAGTAGCGGTGACAGGAGGAGCTGGTTTTTCTCCAGAACCAAGACCTCTTTTTCCAAGCACAGTATCTGACCTACCGGGCCTCTTGACAGCTCTACAGTAATATTTAGAACAGTATATATAACTTGTCAAACCCAACACAATAATGTTATAGTCTTAAAAAAGAAAAAGAAAAAGAAAGAAAGAAAGAAAGTAAAGAAGTGTATCTGTAATAAAGATAATAGCTCTTCAAAAACATCATATTAAAGAGTTTCGTATCTCAGTAAACTTGTAAAGTGTTTCATTAAAGAGAGAACAGAAAAACTGGGCAATTAAAACAGCCATCCTCATGGTTACGAGCTGAGGCTCGGTCCTACGGGGCACCTGCATCTGGGGGTAAGGCAGTGATTGCGCCTGTAACTGACCTATTCATGCAGGAAGAGGCAAAATCATTACATCCGATTGCCAGTTCTGCTTCTATAATCCCCAGAAAGAAGCTCTGTCTGCATTAGTTCTTAGTGTTCCTCGTCCTATTCATCTCTATCTGCTTATTGATCAGATCAGACACTCTAAGATTTAATATGAAATGTAATATGCAGGAATCTCTCCCTGAGCATTCGCAGATTCATCTCCTATCCCTCAGTGGGCCTATAGGGATATTCCGATTATTAAGTAGGGCTCAGCAGCAGAGTCATCTCCATATTGTAGCTCTAACAGATAGCTTCTATCCTTCTGTAGTGTAAATTAATCTATGGGCATTCTCACTCCATTTCAATGATTCCCTTAAGATTTGGGCACATCCGGTGTATAATAACCAACATCAAATAGTAGGGAATAAAATAAAGGTGGAACAATGCAAAACAACGAAGATCACTATAATTGATTCAATTTAGTTTACTCAGCACAAAATAGCAGTAGTTATAAAAGTGTTGAATGTGTGTCATTCATGAGGCTGTATTAAGATTTGTTTTTATCTTATACCATAGTTTGAAGACTAGAATAGTTTGACAGTTTTGCCGCAATTACACCAAATATGAAACCAAGGCCTGTCGCAACAAAGCAGCTTACAATAAAGATTGGAAACAGGTTGAAATAGCCACCCTCACTTTTTACAAAGGAAGAAAGAAAAGAAAGGAAAAGCAAAGAAGGGGGAAAAAAGCTTTTGAGGGGCAGGAAGCCAGAAATCCTAAGATATGTTGCATATTCTCTGAACGTCTTTGTCTTTAGTTATACCTCTGAATGGTTGCGCAGGGGTCTTTAGCTTATCCAGTTTGAAATAAAATGGAGTTGGCTGATGTGTTGATGACCCTTCTTTCTTAGAGCCACTGCGAGGCGGATGGGGCTTGATGAAGAGCTATGGGAAATACATAATACAGTAAATATACTCCAATTACACTAATTCATCGTCACATTATTATTATCATCATCATCATCATTTTTTTAAAACCTGTTTGGGAACTTGTCCAAAGTTGCTGACATATCCCAAGATTGTGCTCTTGATGACAGGGTCTTTAGTGTCCTGCCAGCGTTTCTGGGGGTAGAAGTAAGGGTGGAACGTGTTCACGCTTTCTATTGCAGCTTGACCTCGTTGCCGATATCCAAAAATCAGATCGATCCACAGGTGTAGGTTGGCGCTCACATAGTCACTTTCCAGTGCCTAAAGCAAACAGAGCAGGGGATTGTTGCACAAACTAAAACCATCTAGTCAAATAATATTATAAAGCTATTAAAACATGCATACAACAGTCTTTAAAAAAAAACAAAAAAAAAAACAGCAGTGTTTAGCACTCGTTATTATTGTGGTCCCCAAACCATCAGTCAAACTGCTAATATGACACCAATGCACAAAACTTCTAAGACTGTACAGCCAATCAAATTATTAAGGTACCCTACAATTCCTTCCAAAAGTCAATTTAGAAGTCCAGGACAGCAAGAGACCGAACAGCTGTGTTATGAGCATATCTTCATGTTACAATTAAAGAATGATTTGGGTTGAATTAGCCAGAGATTGGTTTTGAAGAGTTAATGAGGAAAAGTGGGCATTATGACCAGCTATATCCTAGCGCCACATTTTAATAAACGCGTCCTGGATGAACAGAAAGGTGGAAAAAAAGAAAAAAGTATCATAACAAGGATATATTGTCCTGAGTTAATTTGTCTGTGGAAGAAAAAAAAACAATCTTCTAAAGTCACTAATTTTATGAGAATGGTAGGCAATAAGAGTAGTTCAGTAGATTACAGAGTGATAACCATCACATATGCCCCAGGAATGGAAAAAGGGAGGGTCATCATGTAGAAACAGAAAGAAAATGAACAGACGGGTACAATAACCCCACAAAGGGATAGATGAGGGTAAGCTGGGAAAAAAAGAAGAAGAAGAAGAAGAAGAAGAAGGAAGATAGTGAGAATATTCAACCAATCAACAACTGGCAGAAATAATGACATTATGAAAAAGAGAGAGTCGTATGTGTTCCCCGAATCCTGTTAAATAGGCTTGTTGTCCTGTATTGTCTGTCATCTAAGCTTCAGATAAATGCCTTTTTATGCATCTTCTGTATAGGAAAACAACTGGTCATTATACTTGACTAACAGTTCGTACCACAAGAACATAACTGAACCAAACTCAGCGAGACAAAACTGCCTTCTGAGAATTTACTGAACTGACCAACATCTGTGATATGAACAACAAACTGCAACCTACACTATTACAGTGCCACACATGTAGTGAATGTATGTGTGGAGATACTTAATACAGTGAATCTTCTGTATACATCAGCCGGTACGGACTATCATTATTAGGTGTTGTGGGTAAATAAGTCAGAGTACACAACAGGCCAGGCTAGCGGTTTGGAGGGAAAGTCTGGGTGTCACTGACCTCTCGATGGATTCTAATGAACTCCTGGGGGTCACCTTTTGCCCATGGAGGTAGCTCGACATCTCCCAGAGCTGTGCCATCCTCCATACAGCCTAAAAAGACACACATATGCATTATTGACTACGTGAACTGTGTAGGAAAAAGAAAGAGGAGCCACTGGTGATATGGGTGAAGCAGTGTTTTAATTAGTGAATACTGTTTTTGTTTGCGTCTCATTTGTGTGCAGAGACACACATATACATGCATTAACACTTGAATAATGCCATTCACAATATTGCCAACGGCTTCATGCAATTACACTGACTGACACCAACTGGCGAAAATGTGCCAAGAAACATAATATACAATCAAATTGGCTTTGCAAATGTTTTTAAGGCCTTTCTGATTAAAAAAAAAAGAAAGGGAGAAAAGTGGTATCCTCATGTGGCATACTATATATTTTTATTGGCAAATAAAGAAAGACCAACGACATGACTGTAATAGGAACAGGCCAGAGATTAATATAGCTTATTATTCTGTGCCACACCTTCATTGATGGCCAACAAACACTCCAGCAAACCACTGTGGTGTGATCTGTTATATGGTCCCTCATTACCATGAACAAATGTATGCAAAACCTAATCAGTCAATCTGTGGGATACATGTGCAGTTTCTACTGTATCGTCTTTCATTCAAATTAAGCTAATTAGTTCATCAGTTAAGCAACAAAAGAATTATAAAGAAATGATTTGATTACATTTCACAGCATTTCTTTGGATGCTTCATATCTGTTATCACTTATGCAGCTTATTATCCAGAAGCTTAGAAGAATAGTTATAGCAAATTCTGCAATATCGTTGATCACTCATATGCAAATTAACATAGAGTGCTTCAGAATCCAATCAGGACATCTACTCCACATGGAGTTCCTCTCATAAAAATAAAAAGTTTTAATTTGAATCATTTGAATCATTGCTTAATCACCAACATGATGAAAATACACTGGCCATTTCATTAGATATACCTGTTCAACTGCTTATTAATGCAAATATCCAAAAAGCCAATGACATGATAGCAATTGGGTGTATGTGGGCACACAGACTGTAGTCAAACATCACCAGAACAGGATGGGCAGCCAACAATTGTGCAGCAACTTCATGTCAATATTTGGTGTTTTCAACAAGGTCAGCACCTTGTTGAATGTATGCCATGATGAAGGCAGCACCGAAGGCAAACGAGGTCCAACCCTGTACTAGCAAGGTACACCTGATAAAGTGACTGCTGATTGTATGTAGTATATATGACTGAGGACATACAGTACAAAATACAGTATACATTCTGACCTCGCAGAAACAAAACAAAACAAAAAAACAAGAGACAGGGTAGGGAAGTCTGAAATAATCACTTTACATTCTTTTGTTTTCATTTATGAACATTAGGTACACAGAGGATTCAAAAAGCTGACCTAGCTGGATTTGGTTAGAGTTGATCAGGAAGTCTGGCAGGTAGAAGAACTCCGGGATCAGCTCTCTGACGTCCCCCATGTTGTCTCTTGAGGCAGAGTCCCACTCTTTGTTTATACTGTAAAACATCCGCTCTGGGATATCAAACCCTCCCTGTGAGGAGAGCAGACAAAACACTGTCAGACCCGCAGAACATCACTGAGATAAACTTTTCTTTGGGCATATTAATAAAGCAGTCTGCCTGATACAGTGCAGAGAATCATATTTTATGTTCTTTATTGTATTATGTAAGCACAGAATATTTGCTACCATTAGAGGAAAGCTTTTCATCTTTCTGTAAAATTCCATCATCTGTGATGCGAATCTCATGAGAGTGAATGTAATTTAGAGTAAAACAATTACCTCAATGAATGAAAATAGCATATATACTGGTAAACTGGGTTAGAGATGTAAATCCAGTTATGGATATTACTACACACCCATTATGTGCTTCAGAAGACAAAAAGGCTTCCTAATTCAACATCTTTATTGTTTTATTCTGACTATCAAATATGCATGCCTTTTCATTATAATCAACTGGATGCTGTGTTGTAAATTGGTAACATCTGTGGCTATTTCTACTGGCTTCTTTTGGACGCTATGTGTAATTATTTGCATATATATTAAAATGTCCTTATAATCTGTTTTTGTACCAAAAACAGCATTAAAATGGGATCTGGACAGCTGAAAATAGCTCACATTAGTTTCATATTAATAGCAAGATTACATTTTTAAAAAATAAATAAATAAAAATGACAATGTGATGAATGCCAGTGGGCATCGAAAGCACAGGGTTTGCAGAAAGCCCTGTGGGTTACTAAAACATACTGAACACAACTTTCCCCGTCATTTCATCTGACAAATTAAGACAAAACTTCTTTAATGATCTCATTTATGCTGTAACCTTATCAACCACAACAAATTTTGCATGTTTTCAGTCTTATGAGCCACAGCACTCCACAGCAATGACATGAACCTCTGCAAAATGGTTAATATTTCTTTTTGCTGCTAGAGTTTCTCCAATTGGTCAAATTCTGGACTTTAATAATAATGTGAAGTTATGATGCCTAACTGGCAAAAATGTGACTGCCAAATGAAAAGTCTTGAATTTTATACTTTGTGTGTCATCTTCTTTAATCTAAACCACTTTTACAGACATGTCAGTAACAAGGTCTACTTTTTCCTACATGCAAATAGTATTTTGTTAAATTTCTGTTATTAGACTCACCTGTAGCGCCTGGAAGGTGTGGGAAAATGGCTCCATCCTGACAAGGAAGGATGCCACAATAATGGCCGAGGAGTAGTGGGTACAGTAGTGGCATTGTGCTGTCAGGTCTGTTAGAGAAAATCACTTTAAAGATACTAACAGTGACATGAATAAAGCAGTACAAGTAAATAAAATTGAGCCAAATGGATACCTTCACTCTCTTTGCCTTCAACTTCTTCGTATCTCTGGATAAACATCTGTTTCCTTTTCTCTGTTTGAGCTCCCATCGGCTTGGACAAATCCCGGAACGTTGCAGGATTTGACAAATCAAGAATCTGTGAAGGACACAGATAAATCATACATTTGACACATGTCTTTGTCCCCACCTCCCACCAAGGATCTCTTTACAATTATTGGACCAATTTAGCTGGACTTGGTATTACTTGGGCCGACTGAAATATTTCTCCAGGCTCACCGGATAGTTTGCTAAGCCAAGCTACAGAGCAGCAGGAAGGGTTTGTTTCACCCTGAGAGAAATGAGTGACACCTGATGTGACATGTTGCAGTTGCAGCAGGGAAGGATAAAAATGGACACAAAATGCTTTTTTAAAATTAGAATTAACAATCCCCATCTTCATTGATGCACTTTTGATTGATAGAGTAAATTGTTACAATTTAGAGCAAATCCTTTTGCAGACCCGTTAGCTTTTGGTTGTGGACCCTTGAAAAACCACAGTTTGAGACAATATTTAAGACAGAGAGGTCATGTGTAAGGTTTACCTCTGACTTGTAGTCAGCAATGATCCAGGGGAAAACCGGATACTGCATCAAGTCATTGTATGTCCTCCCAGCGATCGTATTCAAATGCATCAAGTACTCAAAGTTACTTATCTCCCCCTTCTAAAGGACAGACAAGAAAAAAATACAACTTAGAAACAAGTCAATTCAGAATAAAGTGGATTACATCAATGCCATTTATTCAACTTTGTTGGCTGCTCCTTCAACATTGGCAATGGATGTCTGCCCAAAACAATCTGTGAGCACAAACAACTTATGGAAAATCGTAACATGCATTACCTGCCATTTAACAAGGGCCGTCTTTTCAACCACAGGAGTCTTTCTAAAGCACAACAAGAGAAAATACTTTGAATTAGCAACAGAAGCTGATCACTGAGCAGTGCCTATCAGCACAAAGTTTTCCTGCTTGCTTTGTTGCCTAGCAACCACAGTTTAAATGTATGCACAGCAGAGTTCAGCAACAGCAGCGTAGCTGAGGTGAGTGAGCGAACTTGGAAAACAGAGTGTGTGTACACAGCTGCAGGAGCAGTTAAGGGGCTGATGTGAGCTACAGTATGTAGCATAAATAGTGAGCAGACATGTGAAGGATATAGCACATGATGAGGAAACGAGGTAATTAAGACTAGGTTCTTTGATTTGGAGCTACTTCAGCAAACTGGAATGTTTGAAAGAAGATTTAATGACTTGAAGGGCATGTTTTGACATGTGGCACCATTTTTCCTAACGGAAGTTGATGATTACTTGGACAACAGGGGCACCATCATCTTGTGAAATTCCTGTTTCTCAGCAATGAGAAACAACGGTTAATATCTAACTTGGTGTCAGCTGTTTTTACTTTACAACAATACAATACCTAAATATAGTTATTTTTTTATAACTGACTGGGAAATATCAATGCTGACAGGTCAATTTGTCCTGTTTAGGTTCTGATTCCACTCTTTGTGAGAAGGAAACAGAAAAGTCTCAAAAAGTAAGACTACTGTTTGAAGTCTTTTTAGCTGTTCACTGCTAAATGTCAGCTTATTTCCAGACAGATCCAGATGAGGTGATACTGATGTTTGAACAGATATGCTGAATTTGCCCCATTTCTTCAGTCACTACAATAAAAGTTGCTTTTTAAGAAACTAAACCAGTTTGCTTATCTCTAATTACAAGAAAGTGTGTGACTGGCTTGAGAAAATAGATACTAAATAACAGTGTGGCTAAACATTTTATTCAGTATTATACTTCTGCCTAAATGTGCTTAATCTAAATAAGGAAAGTGATCAACTGCTCCTGAAATCTCCTCTCTTCCTCTGTGGACTAGTAACAGGGCAATAAAGTCCAGGCGCCAAGCAGCCCAGTTGCTAAGTAACGTTATAAAACAAGAAGAACCTCGACTATCCCCGTTCAGATCAGGAAGGCAAGGAAAATTTTGATATAGAAGAATGGTCTTTCCTTTTCATTTAATCACAAAAACTTTTACATACCAACCAAATTGTACTGATCATTGTAAATGTACTTTGAAGGTGTTGCATCTCAATAAAACATGTTTTGTTTTGTTTTTTGCACAGAAGTGAGAGACTGTGAGATGAGCAACCAGTTCACAGAAGCTTAAGGAATGCTCTTCACTTGATTAACAACAATCCAAAGGGAAAAATATGGTAAGTACCTGCCTTCATCTATTTTGATAATAAGTAGTAAGATCAGGTACAAGTCCACGCTCTAAAGCTATCCTTATAAATAACCTACTGTTGTCTAAATTTAGAACTTAAAAGAGAACAAATCATATATAGCCACACAGGTCAGAAACAAGTGATGATCATGAAGCAAGACGACAACAACAACAACAACAACGTTAGACTAACACTAAGACAGAAAACATTATTTTAGTTAAAGTTGTTATACTTAAAACATTTCAATAAAAGTCAGACAACTAGAATTATATGTTAGCATTAGCATGGTATGTATATGTTATTTATGTTTTGACATTATACACCCCTAAAATTATAAACTGTAAACTGTTAGACGAATACCTTTATTTATACAGGTGGCCCCATTGAGACTCAATGTCTCATTTACAAGTGAGACCTATGATCAATATGATGTACTGCCATGCTTTTTTTGTTGTTAAATTGTAAGTATTGTAAGGATTAGTTGCTTCTTGTTGTCAGTCCTTTCATTTGGCTTGGCAATTAAAGGCATATTGCACCTAAAACAAACTGCGGATGAAAGTCTTAAAAGTACAGTACAGACAGCAACTCAAAGATGAAATAAGGATGCACGTGGGAAATGAGTTCAAATGATCAAGAGCCTCTTAAAGTGTGTCCGTTTCCAACGCCAATAACTCCTGACCAAATATTTTGTAAAACTGCACTAAATCAATCATTGCATTTGGCTCAGTACGTGTTATCTAATTGCAGGCAATAATTTCATGCAATAGTTTTCTATAGGAGTTATAATGGGAACAAGCACCAGTGGATAACCTCTCTCATCCTGAGGATGATGAATGAGGCGAGAGAGGGCCTTGGGGTGTAACACAGACACAAACAGACACACACCTTGCTCTTTTAGACAGGGAGGGGAGAAGAGCGAAGCCCTCATTACACTCCCAACACTCACCAACTATCATTTATCAAAGTCCTGATTTGATTCTTTGCACACACACACACACACACACACACACACACACACAGACATATACACACACACAGTAGTACAGCGCATCCATGTCTGTCAACACACCTGCATGGCAATATGTCACACGCACACACTTTTCTTGCCTGAGAAGAGCCAAGCAACACAATCCACTGAATGGTGAGGGAGCATCAGCACTCATTTGTTTTTGCTGTATTACCCAGTGTCGCCTCTCTCCTATTGTTCCCCAGCATTAGCCTTAATTAGAGAGTCATGCTCTTAAATACCCCCATGGGCAACACTGGGTGAGCACGCACTAGTGCAGTCACAACACTGTGATACATGCACACTCATGGAGACACACACACGCTGTTCGAGCTCTCATTCCTCAGAGAGCATGCTTTCCCCACCGCCTGAGGCCTACATAAGCCCGTGTATTTGAATAAATCACATCAGCCTCACACAACGCACACACACGCTCACATCTTTACGCATAAACTCACAACCCTTTTGTTTGCTAGAGTACTGTGTGGTGGTGTAGATTAGATAAATTATTGTAAATTGGTCTCTTGGTGAAATAATCTCAAAAGGGAGGCCAAGTTGAAATTTTAAACTGACTTGTTCAGTAATTCTCTGTGCATTGCAGTACCATGCTCAAGAGAAAGGAAGCAAAAAGGACAAAGGTGACCCTCAAAACTGCAAAGAAGGCTATACGCACGACCCCAGATGGACGGCGTAGACTCGTTCTTAGCAACATGGGAATAACCATATTCCCAAAGTGCCTCTTCAAGCTAACCTTTGTGGACGAGTTGGACTTGAGTCGCAACCTCATAGAGAAACTCCCAGAAAACTTTGGGAACTTGTCATCACTCAGATGGCTGGATCTACACAGTAACAAGCTAGTGTCTGTGCCCGAGTCCATCGGCAACCTTAGGGGACTTACACACCTAAACCTCTCCAACAACTGCTTAACCTTTTCAGGTTTACCCTCTACCCTGGGCTCCCTGACTAATCTGAAGAGTCTCAATCTAGGAATGAACCAGCTTGATGACCTGCCTCTCACTTTGGTGGCCTTGGAAAATCTTCAAGAATTGGGCCTGTTTGATAATCTCTTTAAAAAGTTACCAAAATTTCTGCAAGGCCTACGCAACCTCACCAAGGTGAATGTGAAACGAAATCCTCTATCATACCATCAAAGGAAAGATGAGACATTACTGAAGGGAAAGTCAGAGCATAAGGAGGATGTGTATCTGGTCCATGAGAGCAGCTTGTGTAGGACCTGCCTTAAAAGGTGTCAAGCAGAGAGGGAAAAGCTTATTAAAGGAGGTGCGGAAGGGAGAAGAGGAAGGAGAAGGGAAGCAGAAGGAGGAGGAGTAGATAGCTGCATGTCTGAAAAGAAAAAGAAAAGCGCATTTCCTGGCCTGGTGGCACCAAACTCAGTGGCTATAGTCAATCAGGATTTGTGGAGACTACGAGAAAAGCTTGAATGTGTGCAAGTCAAATGACCAGCAGGTCTCCTGATGTCAACTTATCAAAAAACAAAACAGCAGGAAAGGATGGAATGATAGGTCAGTCACACAGCATTTAATAGGCGTGTGCATTATATCAAGCTGTGACTATTTTTTGTAAGCTTAATGTTTCTACTGATGATTAAAAAGAAATTTGTTGAAATATTGCCTATGGGTGGTTCTAAGAAACGCATGACACTTACTTGGCATTAGCAATGACCTCAGCAACTCCTCTGCCCTTTAAGGCTGGCACTACTCTGCTCAACCTGTAGGGAGAAAAAGACCAAAGACAAAGATCAGAATGCTGAAAATAAATCTTTCTTATTATCCAGTATATATAAATATGTTACCTTTTATAAGCAGAGACATGGTCTTTATTCAGGAATACCAGGAAGGCTGAGTGACCGTTTTTCATGAAGATCTCAATAGCATCATCCTTACAGTTACAGAGAGAGGGACAGTAGCCTTTTTAAAGTGCATATTTTCCCCCACTTTAAACAGAAATTCTATCCGATTTGCTTTTCCACAAAGATATAAGAGCAAATAAAATGTGTGTCAGAAGAGGAAGTTTAAGATCAAATGTGGTTGATATCTGTAGGTGTATGGGTGTCTGACCTCTAAAAGGAAACGCATGAAGCGTGCCTCCTTGATATCTTCATACAGCCAGCATTTGCAACTGGCTGCTGGCAGGTCTTTATTTAGCATGGTAGAAATAAAGGAATCCCTCACACTGGCAGAAAGAGACACACAGGATGATGAATGACCGACAAGTGAGGATCCATGGTGTGCAGAACTGTAAACATGCACAGTTATACCTGCTGGGGTGGTGCTTCCTGCAACAAACATCTCCAGCAGGGCTGAGGGTGAATCCCTCACACAAGAGCAGGCTCTCCTTCCCAAACAGCAGCAAACCCTCTGTGATTCTGAGGCCACTCACCATCACGACACACATCTTAGAGATTACCTACAGCAAGAGAGAAAGAGTTCTTGCATTAATGTTCATACTGCTGTTATTGTGTAAAGTACTTTACAATGTATGTATTGTGATTGTAAGCCCAACAAGGGACAATTGTTGAAAATTAGCAACAGCTATAAACTTATGTGTGTTTACATCAGTTTCATGTTTTGTACTTGGACTATGTTAAATTGCACTGCCCATTTAAATAAATAAAAATTAAATAAAAATTAAATTAACTCGTTCTTTTGAACTTTCATGCCAGTAAAATCCTTTCAAACTGAATTTTATTGAGCATAGAGTAAGAGATATACATTAAACCCGATGTGAGGAGCACAATCCACATCAGCGCCCATCTCGCTCAATCTCTAAGGACATGACATGGCAGCAACACAGGCACTTCAGGCCTTATTTGATTGATCATTTTAATCACATATTTTAATCATTATTAAAAAGACACAGTTGAACACTTCATTATCTGAACTGATTGATGGGGTTTAGCAGGCCCGGCCCCCTTTTTTTCAGCAGTGTGTGTTCCATCCAGTGCCAAAGTGAACCCACATGCTGCTTTCAGTACTGGTTGTAGCTAATGCTAACTGCATTGTGATAATGCGTGGATAATTCTATTGTCTCCCCTCATTTCACCACGAGTGCATGCACCTGGCTGTCTCCATGTGTTGGCCCCTCTGCAGGCCCTCTGAGACATAGCGCCCAAAAACCATATGGGGCCCTTACACACCCGCAGGCTCCTCACAATTTATACTAATCAAATCAGACTCCTTACCCCCAGACACAGAGTCACACACACACACACAAACACACACACACTTACTTCCTTGGTGGAGGAGAAGGCCCTGCCTGGCCATTATTAGGAGAATTAATCACTGCCACACACACAATAGAAAACCTGATAAGTGATCAGAACCTCTTGTCTGAATGCACACGCAGGGATACGCTATGAATAATATCACTTAAGTGTTTAAGAAGAGTCAAGGTGAGTGAGTCTTAGCGATGTGGTAGAGAAATCTTGCACTGAGTTATATCATGTTCAGATTGTGCAGCAGTTTCCAACAGTGAAAGCAAACTGGCACCCAGCCTACTGTCTCCAACAATGACTATATTTCAGAAAAAAAATAGTTAAATTTATTGTTATCAAAGATTAAATACATAACAATAAACTTGTTTCCTTATCTCCTTACTGTGCGCTGGACAGATACGCATTATCAGTCTGAGAGTGATTTAGCTGATGATGGGAAGAAGGAGAGAAAAGGAGGACTTTTATTGACTAAGAGCCTAATGTCAGACCATTGATTTCTCCCCACACACATTATTGTCATAATCACACTATTGGCGCTGGCAAGCTAATTATGAGTGGGTCTCCCTTTGTGTGTTACTGCATGTGTGTGTGTTAAGTCTGAGCATGTGTGTGCATTTTTCAGAGCTAATGACTGTGTTCATTTGACAGGAAGCTCAGCAGGACTCATGCACTCAACCACTGCAAGACAACAGGACACACTTGCACACATCACACACTTACTAAGCGGATGTAAGACAGCTTGCATCACCTCCTACTGTTTTTATTAATACTTCTGTCAGAAACATTAAAAGCCGCGGCTGGTTGCCGGAGCGATGAGAGTCCCTGTCAACATGTGCACTGGTTTCTAACTCACTGTAAGAATGAGAAGAGCTGTGCTGGGCCTCAACATTAAAACATTATACTAATGAGGAAAGATGAAATTCTGATAGCAGCACTGGGCAATTGGAATCCCTTAGTCTACATCAGATAATTATGATTGTGAATATTAGTAGGGTGGGAAGCAGTTGTGCTTCTTTTTAGGCCCATGGTTGCAGCCCAGCATACCAACACACACTCCAACCCAAAGTACCTCCTCTCCTGGGAGCAGCTCCTGCAGGATGACACGTATGTCCGGGCAGTCTTGCGTGAGGGAGCAGGGCACAGGAGCTAAAGGGTCGGATAGATCCTCGGTGATAACAGGTGTGTCTTTCAGTGCAGGGAAAAAAGTCAGTCGATCACATAAATGTCCTCCATCCTCTTCCTCGTCATTAACCTCAGCAGCAACTTCACACAAGAGCTTAGGCTCTGTTAGAATGAAAATACATTTTGCCACTGAGCATAATGAGTAAATACAAAAAAGTAAATTAAACAAACAATCAGGTATCATCTTTACCCGCGTCACTTTCTGATCTGTTGTTGCCAACTTCGGACATGTCCGGCCTTATACCCAGCATTCCTAGCGCCTGTTGTAAAAACATATGACATTGTAACAGGTTAGACTGTGCACTATCTGAACATCAAATGTGTTTCACACAAAAGTGTTATACCCGTTTGGACTGTCTCAGAGTCTTTCTGCGAATGCGTGATCTCGTTCGATTGCGTCCTTCAGCAGCGTCTTGCACCCAATCTTGGCTCAACAGCACTCCTGGGCCAGGTCCGAAAACGGCTCTTTCCCTCAGCAGCTCGGCCTCCAGTTTCAGCCACGTGAAGCTCAAATGCTCCCACTCAGAGGCACGTACCTGCGAAACGAAGCAGAATAGTGGGGGGTGAAGTGCCACAGAGGTAAACAGCATTAGACCCGCTTTTAAATTTGTAATAAAATACACTGCAGTGTATTCATGTTAAAAATTTCCATCAAACCTGTAAGTGGTTTGCCCTCATTTTTTCCAACACGTTGTAGCCTCTCTGTCGATGCGATTCCATGTTGGACAAAAACTCCTGCAAAGCAACAAGAGTAACCTGATGGGTGCAAATGAAAAGAGGGGCAGCACAATCACTCTTCCCCCAGCTCATATCGTACAAACACACACAGTACACACCATGTTCACATAAATTGTATATGCATAATAGTATTGTTGTTTCCTCATGCAATTACAATGCATTCATACAATTACATCTGCTCTAAATTGCATTCACTGGGCAAAATAAGCTAGTGGCTACAGTCTTACAATAACCCTGTCTGGAAATGTAATCATTTGTTGGTATTATCTAATTAACATAAACATTAATATTGCTGAGCCACACCACCGTAAAGGGCAAGGTAAGTGTGTGTCTATGCTTTTATATTGTGCGAGTCAGAGTTTATGTGTCGATTAAAAGAGGATAGAAATGAAAAATGAGGGGAAAAAAAATAAAACAAAGCCGTGTTGACACTGCAGGATGCTCATGTTCAGCAGACACACTGGGATCATATTCTGACTGTTAACTGCTTCATTAAGCCCATCATCACAGCAGTGCTCGCTGAGAGACTAGTGAAACAACATGTGTCCATCCTCACAGCTGACCCAGGAAAGCCGTTTAATTGACTGAATGAAAATGCGGTAAGTCTTTATATCGAGTCTTATTTACAGATACTAATTCTATTTTGTGAACTATAAACCCACGAACAGAATAATTGATTTCAAGTAGAATAAAAGGAAAAACAACTAGTTCTGCATTACAAGAGATGCAGGAAAAAGGAAAAAGAATTCAAGGGGGGGGGGCGAAATAAAAGTGAAACCCAAAAAAAGTTCCAAACTTTGACAAGCTCGCCAGAGAATGAAAAGTGTTTCTCTAAATGACTGACTGCCTATTCAAATGAGAAGTTGTAGGGAAACAGAAATAAAGGGGTAATCTGAGGAGAGATTATAGAAATATTACAGACAGAAAAGAGTGTAATAATGAAGTTTGCAAGCTAGAGCCATGTTGTGACAGATAAACAGCAAGTCGGCGTCATCATCTCCTAATTTCATTCCTTCATTTTGACAAACATAAGTAATATATAGCATTAATTACCCCATTTAGCAGATAGGAACCTCATTGGCTTTTTAAATGCTGCATTAAATACATAACTCATCTCTTCCCTCTGCAATTAACATCAGAACATCACACTCATTTCCATTTTAATGACTTCCCAACAATACGCCACCTTTGATGATAAGGCAACATAATGTCAACTTCATTCTGGGCTGGCAGTGAATGTGTAATGAACTTAACGTGATCATTAGTGCTGTTAATTATCTTTCTAATATGAGGACACAGATATGATTATGGAAACTGCATTCGGTGATGAAATAAATCTCTGGAAGGATTGCACTGAAGCTTGACTGAGGACACAGTCTGCCTATCAGTCTCTATATTCTCATTCATTACCTACAGTGGGCTTTAAAACTCTTTTTTGTTCAATAAATGTACATTTCTGAGCCCAAGAAACTATGCTCAGTGGTCTATGCAACCATGGATCCTGTGTCTGAAAAGAGACTCCCCATAAGCTCGTCACATGCCAAACAAAGGTCATAAGTTGATGATCCAGAAATTAATTAATGACTCACTTGTTTCTTCATGAGGAAGGATGAAAGAAAAAAAAAAAGGAGCTGACTGGCTGACCATAGCTGATGATTCCATTTTTTTTCCTGAGCACTCAGTGCATGCTGCAACCTATTTTGAGCAAAGTGGTGCAACTCACTGCAGAGAGGGAAAAAAAAATTCTCCTCCCTCTTCTTTCCTGCATCTCAGATGGAAAAACAATTCATCACCCTCTCTGATAGCCTGTCAAAGACTGATATGATAAAGAATAACATCAAATGAATAATGTTTTCATCAGATTGGTACCACTATAATTGCCAACCCGATTTCTGTGGGCAAGAGACGTGCGCAAGAACACACACACTTTAAGGGTGTGAGACAGACACACAGACGCGGTAATTTCATGCCTGTGTGCCTGAGTAATATGTCCCTGCTCCCTGCTCCAGATGGCTCGACGTCTTAAGCGTTGTGGGGGAACTAATGATGTGGGCCACGTGTTTTTCGGGGGGAAAAACAACAATAAACGCGTCTTTAACCTTCAGCTGCAAACAGTGTGTTGTAGTGAGTGTTCCCATGGATTGGCCTAACAGATATCAATTACAATGCCCACTCAGGGGCAATCAGCTGTGATAATCCAAATCTATTTAAAGAAATAATCAAACACCCCCACAGGGCTGGATGGCCCACAGCACAAGGATAGTGGTGACTTTGGGATGAGTGTTTGGCACAGAGCTCTAGGATGCAGAGACACATGGGAAAGGTAACAACCCCACAATCCTCACAGGGGGCAACAGTCACAGAGCTCGGGCCTGCTCTGTGCAGAAGAACCAAATACTGAGACAACGTAAGTGCACAATTACCTCTACAGTTACTGACTCTGGAACTGATTTTCCCAAAGCCGAGCGAAGAGCACTGCTGATGTCAAACTTCTTCTGAGAGCTGCTGGCCACTTTCTTATTCTGATACTCTGAAAGAAAGTCAGGGTTTAGATGTCTGTCTCTTGGTGCTATTGTTCTGGCATTACCTCCCATGGCAGGAACTAACCTGTGTGTAGAAGCCAGGCTTTGCGTGCCATCTCCTCCCAAAGAGGACTAATGTCAGTCATGCTGACAGGCTCTGTCTGCACTTTGTGGCTCGCTGAGATCTCTATCTTATAGGTTTCTTCAAGCATGCGTTGCCTCTCCAATATGACCTTTGACCAGCAGGCCTCCACTAAGGACACTAGCTGGCTCTCATCTGGAACACACAAGCACCAAATTGTTCTGAACCATCTAGTGACCTGGTGGACTTAAAATTGACAAAATGTCAGACTAAAGTGATAAAAGTAAAGGAAAATTCACATACCTGTCAAACCATCTCCTCCATTGCTGAGGGAACTGGATTGCTTAGTTTTGGCAAGAGACAGGCTGGATGAACTTCTGCTCAGTTTTTGTGCCACACACCCAAAACCTTCAGGATAGCTACAAAAATGTGAGAGTGTGAATTACCAGTGAATCAGGTTTCAATGTGCGCGCGCTTGTGTGTGGGTTTTGTTTTTCTGTTACCTGCCAGAACGTATCAGTAACAAACAGTGAAGAAGGCAAGTAACAAAGTTGGCATTTCCATTGTAAGTTGCCATTACAACATCCCAGCGTTCCATTAAGGTCTGCAATGCCTTGATGACCACTTCCTTTTCTTCTTGGGAATGTCGTGGTTGAGACAAGAAGTAAAGGAGGACTTTATTGGTGCATGAGTAGAGGTCAGACACAATCTTCTCTTTCTGACTTTGGCCTTTCTCTAGAGCCTAGAAGAATACAGCAGTGCATTTATCATCAGTTAAAATAAAACCGAAACAAAATGAGTCATTTGTGCTCTGTGGGCAGATGTTGCACCATAATAATTTAAAGTTCCCACTGATTATAAAATTGTCTCTAAATTAACAATTTATAGAGCAGCTTTGCAAGTTTTGTTAATTTAATATGTACACTTTTTAGAGGAAACATTCACATGCCATTACATGCATGTTTGTGTATGTGCATTTGTCTCACCACCACAATCTGATCTGCGAGGAAGTTGAGCAAAATCTCACAGTCTGCCAAATAAGTTCCGATGTAAAGTTTCAGTAGCAAAGTCTGACTGAAAAGCACCACATTCTCCATCAGTGTAACCATCCGTCCTTCAGGCCTCTCGCTACTGGAGTCTGGGAAATTAAAATAAAAAAATTAAACACACGTTTGTGTACAGAATTCAAGTATTTGTATAAAGCATGGATTGTAATTCTACCTTGTGAACTCAGATGAGTGTTGTTGTCTTCCTCATCGCTGAGCATGTAGATGATGTTTATGACCAGCTCCAGCAACTCACTCTGAAAACTCTGGCTCTGTTCAAATGATGCGCCATCAGGGGAAAACTGCAACATTTAAGTAGTTAAGTGGTTAGAAATTAATGAGACAACATGTTGATAGGTAAAAGTTTTCTCTTTTCATTTGATGTTTGTTGCCATCAGCATCTGCACTTGCAGTGTCTAGCTGAAAACGTGTAGAACTCTGCACTGCTTGCCCTCTTTGTGCTTTGCCCTCCTAGTGGTGAATAATTTAATTGAGAATAGCTTGACTATGCTTGTTTTAGTAACTGAGTATAGAGTGGCACCTTCTGGACAAATGAGAGTTTTACAGTATTACTGTAAAATGAAGAGGCCTCTTCAATGGAAATATATTTTTGTTTGTGATAAGGACATGTTGTCTATGTTTTATATATTTTTTTCCGAAACATTACACAATAACTTGTACGCATGTAAATTCACCTCCAGTAGCAGAACAAAAGGATGAGCGTTGGTGTTGGCAGACACATTGAGAAGACTGTCCATAAGAAGAATACGGATGAAATCAAGGACTGGTTTCTGGGTTTGATGACTCTTGACTGTATCCTCACCTTCACTCACTATGCTGCACTTCCTGGCCCCCTGAAAGACGTGAGAAAATGAGTGAATAAGACCAGAGAGAGGAGAACTGCGAAAGAATTTTGTGGAACTAGAACACCACACAGACCTCTGAAATATCCAGAGGGAACACAACGCCAGCGAGCGCGTGCAGGATTGTGGGTGATGCCCACAGTGGGTCTCTTGGCCGGAGGTTATGAATGAGACAAAGAAACTGCATCACGCTTGCTGGAAGCTGTGACTCCCATGATGTATCAGTGACTGACTTGCACTTCGATGGCGAAAAGGGCTGTAAGAACAAAAGCAAAGTTATTAAACATGATCCATTTCTGGTGAAAAACTTAAGCGCTATGCTTATTTATATTACCTGAGTGACAACAACTTTGACCAATTCCACCATTATAAAACCAGCTTCAACACAGAGGGGCCGGGCAGGAGTCTCCACTTGGTTGTCAATGAGTGGCTGCAGGATATCATCCAAACGAACCTACAGTATGTCATAAATTATAACCAAGGCGATTAAGAAGACAGATTACTACATTTAAAAATAAATAAACAACAAATTACCCACATTTCCCTTTGCAGTGTGACTGGTCTTCTTCCCCTGGAGTAGAGCAGCCAGAGCTTCATACACGTGAGGTAGATGAGACTGTTTGATCAGCAACTCCCGCAGTACATCAAAACCAGAACACGTGGTACTGAGGCACTCGTGAGACCAAGAATTGGCTTGAAGATTGTCTGGCAGCATGGCAAAAATTACTGATATTAGTTGGTTTTAGGTGAAATACTTATATGTGTAAAATTAACAAGTAACGTTCTCTATAAAAACTGCTGTTTAGTGTGGTTGTATTAGTACTTAAAAGCAATCAAATTTCTAATTAAACAAGTAAATATAATGTTAAACTTTATGTACCCATGACAGCAAACGGTTCTTCCATGCCCCCAATGAGTGTTCCTGGAAGAACTCCCTCTCTGAAGCTTCTCTGCTGGCTTGGACTTGACAGAAAGTGTGTGAGGAGAATGAGACCCAGTTTAAATGTGGAAGGATGAAGGTGTGGCTGAAGGAAGAACAGGAACCAATCACTGCCCAAGGCATCAAATAAGACCTTCTGTTGACTAGCAGGGGGGAAAAAAAATTTCAAGGTTAAGCAAGAAAATTGATAAATTCTTTATGCTCAGAATTTGGATAGCTAAAAGGTAACAGACTCACTCTTTGTTTAAAAAGGTGTCTGACTCAAGGATTTCGCAAAGCAAAAGCAGCATCTGGTTGCGGATCCAGATGAGGCTGGCTGGGCCGGTACTCTGAGCTGCAGCACAGGGGAGACAGGCCTGGCTCAGTACAAGTAACAACTTGAGTTAAACATGAGACACTATGAGATACAGTTTTGGTTTTTTGTGCTGTACCTGGCACATCTTGTGAAACATCAGATATTTCACCGCTTTCTGGTGCATTACTAGAAGGAGGAAGAGTGTAGACCAGGAAAAGCCCAAGTCTAATCAAATAAAAGGAATCCAGAGAAAGTATGAGCCCTTACAAACCATAATGAGATAACATACTTTTTTAAAAATGTCACAAAAGGACAGTTGTTGTTGACAGTGCGTTCCCTGTCTATACCTGCTTATGTCAGTTGCAGTCAAGTAAACCTTAAGGAGAGATGTGATGACACGAGAAATAACCACAACCTTCTGAATGGTCACAGCAGGGTCACACAACTCAAATAGCAGCTTTGGTAACATGTCCACGCTGTGGATGACTGCTGCATTCCCGTTGTCACTGTTGAGGATACCGTGAGGGAAAGGCAAACAGTATTAATATCAATCGCAATCTGTTCCCACAGACAGAAAATCTAATACAGCAATCCACTCAAACATTCACTCTTCTCTTCAGCCTCTGTCGCTGATTCTGTTGAACATTCCCTTGACTTTCTGTCATACAGTTCCAGGATATCGATGGGAAGCTGTTATAAATGTTGACAGAACAGCCGATAAAGTCTGTCATCAATTCTGAACAAAAGCCTCTTTTGTGCCCCGTACCTTGTCAATCATGCGAGTTAATAATAAATTAGCTACTACACATGTAGACACTGTGGTCGGGTTACACGTTGATAACAGTGGAAATTACCCTGAGGAATTCAGGATTTCAGCAAAGTAGTTCAGAAGTGAAAGGTGCAGACTGTCTGGAGTATTCTGCCACACCTGAAAAACAGAGAGACATTAAGATTCCCGCTAGCCTTCAAACATAAAATAAAAAAAATAACAGGGTAAAATTTGGATACCCACATCTAGGTCACACAGCAGAGCTTGGAAAGCAGGTGTTTTCTGTAGGCAACCAGATCCATAGCCCGGCTCAAATGAATTTGTGAGATGCAGAACCAACTGAAAGGTTCGGTGGCTGACCAGACTGCTCTTCATCTTCAGCAGGAAAGCTAGCAGCTACAAGGACATACATAAAAAGAGATAACAACTGTAAACAGCAGATATTTATGTATTTTAATAAATCAACTGTGCTACTCCAGCACACGAAGATCTCACAGACCTTGTATCCATTTATGCGGTTCATTTCCTGCTGCATGGCAGAGTTGGTCTCCAAAACAGAATGAAGGACTTTAACTGCTGCATACAAAGAGCTATCATCTGGTGCCATTGCAACCAGACTGAGAACAACAGCAGGTCCACCGACGTACAGAAAACCATTAGATGCCGAACTAGGGGTGAACGTACGCACACCTAGAAGGAAGTAGTCAAACATAAAACAATAAATAAATGAATAAATAAATAAATAAATAATGTGTCAGTAATAGGGAACAACAGTTTCAGTGCAATATTTGAATTACCAAAATGTCCAACCAGCGCTGCTCCTATGGTACGAGCTGTACCACTCAGGTGTTGGCTGATGTTTTGAGCAAGGAACACAGGGGTGGACTGATCGCGACATGTTATCCCCATCTGCAATTACACACATGGATTACTAAAATCTATTAAAACAACAAACAATTAGTTTCAACAAAAGGCTCACCTTACCTCTTTAGCAATCAGCCTGCAATCCACCTCGTTGTAATCCTCTCTGATCTGAACAACAGTTGTTAATGTGGAAACTGCTGGGTTAATGCCAAATGAGATCCTCTCCTCAGGAACAAGTCTGAGAGGGAGAGAGTCATGATCTCGATCATGGCCTGGACACAAGCAGAGAGGTAAATACAGACCGGTGAAGTATATCAAGTCCAGCGAGTGAAGCTAAACAATGCACAATGGATGGATTCACATAATGGATCACTATAAACTGTCAAATTCTGTATATTAAGAAAAACTACTTGCAATTACATGCAACTGATGTGATAATTTAAAATAATCTACCATGATGGTTTTTTTTGAATGAGAATCGTTATGACACTATTATACTTGTACTTAATTGTAGGTTTACATGATGAAAACTCATGACAAAAGACAAAATCAGACTAAACCTAAAGTGCCCATTTAGGATGACTCACTAAAACTGAACAAAGAAGAGATGTGTGAAATTAGTGCAACGCTGACTCACTTGTGTTTCGCAAAGCCAGAAAGTTGCCAAGGTATGCGGTGCCTTGTGTGTATATAGCACCCACTGCCTCAGAGCTCAAAGCTTCTTCGAAAAGGTAAGAAGGACCCACTCGCCACACTACAGCAGCATATTCCTTCCAGAGAGGAGGTGTCCCCATTACTCCATATACATCAATCACAGCTGAGGGGTCCATGGAGACATATTGGCCAGGGAATGGCTGAATATACTTCATCTGACAGGAAATGGACACATGAATGAACACATGAATGCTACAGTAAGACTTTGAATCAGTTCAGCTCCTCTCAGCAGCATACCTTTCCTGTCCCCACTGCTTTGCCATTGAAGTAGGCCGAGGTCACACAGCTCTTCTTCAAGTCTTTGGCCATGACCACAGCTAGATGGTGCCACTGACCTGGGACCAGCATACTGGAGCAACGGAACCTCAGCGACGTAGGCAAAGATGTGGGACTGCTAACTTCAGCTTCCGGCTCCATCATATCTGTTGAAAAACATGGAGGATAATGGTCTCTGTAGTTTAAACACCTCACTGCAAAAACACTGATGTTTTTAACTAAAAATTTATTAAAATTCAAAACAAATTCTGTAAAGTTCATACCAAGACCAAACAGTACTCTCACCTAGATATGTTAATGCTTCCTCCTCTGTAGAGATTACCAGACAGCCGTCATAGGCTGAGAAGGAGATGGACAAACAGATGTACTGTTGTTCAGTGCGGGACATGTGGCGAACCACAGACAGTAAGCGGATTGGGTGGGAATCGCAGGCTGAACTGAACCTGTTGATCTGGAACCAGCAGGTAAATGAAAGACCAGCTGCAGGTGGAAAACTTCTGCAGTCTAAAATATGAGAGGGAACTGATTAAACAGTTATTCAGAATCACGCACAAATCTGCAATAATAAAGTATGGGGACTTGCCTCCTCCAATTCCACCTGTTGAGACTGAATCAGCAGTCACGCCTTTCACTGTGGCCAGAGAGGGTAGGAAAAGACAGCTACAAAGCAAAATGTTACATTACAAGTATTTAGCAAATGGCTGATTTATTTATTTATTTTAATTATAGGGTAATTTTATGTACAACACTTACAGCACAATATTTTATTAAGGTAATGATTTAAAATTCTTATCTCTTTTCACTACTGTATGCTCAATATTTTTCCTTTCTTATCACTTGATGAAATCTGATACTGCAGCAAAAAACCCCAACAAAAAACAAAACAAAAAAAAACCATCAAATCATCTACTCTATTTAATATTGCAAGAGTAGTCAGAAGCTCAGTGAAGCAAGAACTCACCCATATCCACTCTCACTCATGTCAAACTCTACAAAAGCAGGTGAGCAAGAGAGTCTGTGTGGTTTAAAGGTCCGCGGTGAAGTCATGGACACGAGACTGAGGATCTGGTGGACAGGGATTGCTGAACCAATGGAGTTTGTAGACTGCAACAAACTGAAGCTGCGCTTCAATGTCTTTACCCCTGTGTTGTGACCTGGTTTAGACAACAAGCAAAATCTAATGTGTTTCATGTATTATAACCAAAGCTAAATCTCAAGAGGATGAAATGAAATATTTATTGATTTAAAAAAAAAAAAAAAAACCTGACACATGTGTACCATTTGATACAGGTCCGTTGGTTTCTGGGTTACATTCTGACTGTATTTGCTTGGCTGTTTTGTCTCCCAAACACATGAGAGGATCCCCCAAACACAGGAATTTTCTGAGGAGGGAAAGGTTATATAGATAATATTGTAAGTTAAGTACAAAAAAGAAATACTTTGAATATAAACTCCAGTTTATGTGCATAACTGACCTGAAGTCTGAAGGAGTGATGGACTGGGAAGAGAGCTTCTCCAAAATGCGTGTAACAGGTAGATGTAGTGGGTGGTTAGGAGTGAGCAACATGCTCTGACAGTGGGCCAGGAGGATGGAGACCAGCCCACCCTCGCACATAATCTGACGGTTTCGCTCAGATTTGACCATTGCCTGGATGTGGTGTGCCAGTGAGAGTTGGACTTCCATTGAGAGCTGTGAAAGAGGAAAATTAATTTCTCTAATGCCGGGCCTCTTTGAGGATTAAAAAGTATGGCACATTAGAGATTGTAAAATGTCAGGTATGGAAAGGTACCTGTGGGTCCTCGTGAGTAAAAACCGATGGAAGGAGAGTCATAATAACTCTGATTGCTCCTGGGTGAAGAATAACAGGATCACAACTGAACCTACTATAAACCAGGCAACATAAAAATAAAAAAAGAGATTAAAAAAAGGGGGGGAAAGGGTCAATACTTGACATCACAGACAATTAGTACATTTATGTGTACAATTTAGATGTGAATGCATAAATTTATATTAAGAAAAAACCCTCCAAAATGAAATATCCACCTGTACTGAGAGTCCGTGCAAACTGAGGGACTCCTGGGCACCATGTTTCTGGAACTTCCCTGTTTGTCCTCCATGGACTGTGAGCCTGATCCCAAGTGGGCAGGAGGAGATCCTGAATAAACTCCTTCATGTGCTGCTGTTCCATTTGATTTCCTTTTATCGTCATCACATCCATCCTCTCGCTCTGGTCCCAAATTTAACTTCTGAGGAGAGTATGTTCCTGTGGCAAACTGGTCGAGAAAGGAGAGCAGCCTTATACATGTCTGAAGAGTGAGAGGCAGATTGGGCTGTGGTGTGGAGGGAGAGGCAGAAGATACAGGGGATTCTGCCAAATCAACAAACTGGTAGAAGCTCTTTCCAGGAGCCTGGTTTTCTTCTCCAGTCCAGGGACAGGAGCACTTTTCACCAACCCACTTCTCTCTCCCAGAGCCTTCAGCATGGAAGCAGCCTAGCTGAAGTAGAGCCTCTGCCAGTTTTTCATAAAAGCCACCAGTCTCAAAATGATGGGCATTTGCAGTGTGAAGATGCACAACCACAGACAAAATGTGCAATGTGAGGAGGAGGTGGTCAACTAGTGGTTGATGCCCCAGTGACTTCCACACTTCTCCCTGCGGAGGGTTAGATAGGGCTCCTTCCATGTCCGTCACCAGAGACAACAGTCCAGTGAAGCCTCCCGCCCTCCTGAAGGCATCCCAACTGTTGGGGCTTTCCAAGACCTTCAACAAAGACTGAAATACCAAAGACAGAACTGAGACCATTTGGACAATCTGCATGTACACTAAAATACATTTTAGCTTAATAATACATTTACACAGTAGATTCTGATAAAGCATTGACAGATAAAGCAATGTAATAGGCACTAAGCCTAAAATCTTGGCTTTTAAAAGATCTCCCCATTCAATTAAAACAGTGTCATAAAAAATAGATGAAACGTATAGATAAATCATAAATCATTTCTGGTAACTAGTTTTTGGAAGTGAACAAAATCACATTAGCCTTTATCAAATTTAGAGAACTAATCCATCAGGTAGGTAATGTGTGAGACAGAACGCAGGGGAAAATGTGATTAACTGAAACTGGAGTAATCACAATGGCTCTCAACACTTGCTAGCCCAGGTCGCACCCAATCTGATTGCCACCTGCTATAACCATGTTAGCACAAAGAACAGACACACACATACACACATACCCACATATCCAGAAAAAAAGTGCGCATGTGTGCACAAACAAGCACACGCACTCACACACAAAGTGCACATAATATCAGCAAGTAAGTGGTCTTCTTGCTGCCATCTATAAAAATGGACACATACAGTAGGTGTGTAACTTGGTTAAGTCTAATCAGATCTGTCCCATTCACTGATCTGATAGAGGTGGTAATCTTCTGAGTGCCACAGCACAAGGCTGCAGGTCTAATCAAATCGGTCCAGAGTTAACAGCTAAACGCATTTTAGCAAATCAATCTGCATTTGTCCATAATGGAATAAGAGTCCCACATGCTAAGAAAATAAATTCAGAAGCTTATTATGTTTTAAGTGTATTACTATTTGTTATGATGTGATATAGAGGCTACATGCACAGTTCAACTTAGATCACTGGATGTGTGTGTGTGAGGTTGTCTCTGATGGAGGGTCCATGTAAAGTACCTGCAAAAGGTCTTGCTTTAATCCAAGTTCCTGCTGTGTGGAGGAGCAGAGAGCTCCGATGGCTGTACTCATGAATTCCTCTGGGTTAATCTCAGCTAGCTGCTCCAAAATGCTCAAAGTGGACTCTCGATACTGATCCACATCCAAGAAGATCTTGATATAGGGAATCATACCAAGGTCTCGCACTGAAACTGGAATACATGTGCAAAACATTTAGCAAAAACAGTGTGCAGCTTCAAGACAAATGAAAGAAATAAATATTTATTATGCCTGGTACACAAGTTACTGGATATGGAAAGTATGACTGCATGTACCTGTGTTTTTAATTGAACGCAGAGTAAGGGCTGACACAACTTGAAGCATGCAAGTAGTGAGCAGTTTCTCACCGTCCTCGACACATGGCAGCTGCTGAGAATCTAAAGAGAAGGTGTGAACCGCAGGGCACATAGTCAGGATGAAAGATGCACTTTTCAGGTTACATTTGCCTGCTAGACCAAAGGTACATGCCCAAATACAAAGAAGCATATGAGTTTCATTACACAATGACACACTTTGTATTCTTAAGTACTCTTTCATGGCCAAGTATTCTGTTCATTCCCAAGTTTTCTGTAACGGCAGGCATTATGTCACACAAGCACCCTTTGTCTGCACTTAGTACTTGTACAACTAATTATATGACAAGTTGAGGAAACTGAAACAATCATTTATACCCATTTTAGGACAAGAGACTACTCCAGCCTTCCTCAGGATTTTAGCTCTCCTGCGGAGTTCTCCAAGCAGCAGCTCCAGCAGACCCAAGGCAGTTAGTGCCTCGGATAGCATTGCACTGTGCATAGTCATCCTTCAAAACAGAGATTTTATTTAAAGAAATTAAAAGAGCAGTACACATCATTTTTAATATTTAAAGACAGACATTTAAATTATCTGAATAACCCACCTTTTTTGCTTTTAAAGACAACTGTTTTTTGGCTACATTCTTTTTTAAAGTAATTTCACTAACAAGACCAAAAACAATATATATATATATTTTTATTTTAGGATTAAAAAAAATAAATGAGCAAGCAAGAACATACTGAAAAGATAAATATTTTAACAACTTGCACTGCTTACTTGTGAAAACTCTTAAGAGCCACCACTCCAAATTCTATCCCTGCCACCGCACCGGCCAGAGTCCCAGCCCAGCTCTGCTTCAACACATTCAACAGTGCACGCAAAGTCTCATGGGGGATGTAGTTCAACTTAAATATCACCTGTTTAAAATAAAAAATAAATAAATAAAAGATATTTAATCAGGCCCTGTATGCTTGTTGCATTGATGACAAAGGATGCATGTGTATTTTACTGTCAATATCAGAAATTATACCATCTCTACAAGGGAAAAGAAGAGTTTCTGGACGGGAGCTGGTTTACGCCACACACAAGTAGCCAGCTGGGCCACTGACTGAACAGTCCACTCCAAAAGGAAAAAATTGGCTGGGTCTCTCTCCCATATTGTCTGTAAGGTTCGAAGAAGCTGGCAGGCCAGCAGAGAATCCTCAGAATGAATCAAGGAGGCCTGCAGCAAGTGGAAGGCACGAAGGTTCTTCACCGCCAAACCTGGAGACACGAGTATGGAAACTAAAATGTGTCCAAAGACTAGAACACTTCTCAAAATAAGATTTTTGCTTTTAGATGTGATCAGATTTGAGAAAGTATGTTCTATATGAATGGGTAGGGAATGCACTCTTATACTACTTTATGACACCGAGTAATGTGAAACTATATCAGTTTGAGGTCAATTTAGCTAAAAGATGTTTTGAATTTAAAACTTGAATTATCCGATTTTGCTCTGGCATGCAAATTCCTGGCATCACAATGCGAATGTCATAGGAAAACAAAGACATAAACAACAGAGCACATGTTCAATCTCACAAACCTATTGAGTTATACAAGCAAAGATTTGATAGTGTTGCATGCATAGGTGCAAAAGAAAAGTAGCATGATCTACCTTGATAGAGTTTGTTTACTGTACTGTCAAAATATTAAGAGGAGGCCTTACATTTAGGTGCCAAAACACACTTATGTTTGTCATGAATAAATAAAAGGCTGGTTAGTAATAGGATTCATTTTCTCGATTAAACAAAATTGCATCAAAACCAAATAAGGTCAGCATAAAACAGTCCCTGGTCCCTCTGCTGGAAACAGATCTACTCCTTGATGTGATAGATGGGTGTTGAGTGTGTGTCTGTGTGTACGCTGGGATGATATGTATGTGTTTGTTATGGACACTCTATTTATGAGTGTTGATAGAGGTGTGTGTGCATCCATGATAGATGACTGGTTGCTGTAGGCCAGTGGTGAATGGATGTGGGGCATCCTAACAGAGTTAGAGGGGAAGCCTCCACTTCATCATCCCAGACATAATCACCTCAGCTTCCTGTTAACCCGAGGGGCGTTGTGTGCTGCAGTGGGGGTAGCTGTATGGGGAGTCAGGATGAGTGGGAAATCATAGGAAGTGGGTAGTGTAGTTTGGGTGGGTTATATAAAGGCAAAAGTGCAAAGGAGGGATGACCTGTGTGGTTCTTCTGGGAGGGAAATCTGATTCTGTCTTTGCTGAGCCATGCAACTGATATTAATTAGATGGTTTGGAATATGAAGCATCTCTTCCAAATACAGAGTTTATCCACAAGGTACAATCAGCTCTTAAGTGATAATTAGGGACAGGTGCCCTGAGAATAACAATAGAGAGCTTATTATGAAGGCTTGGCCTACCTTTAGTGAGTGGAGGGTCAAATTTAAAGCCTGAAGGTTGGGGGTTGGTGACACAAAGAGCCACTTTCAGCTCAGTTTTTCCAAGAAGAGTGAAAGACCCAATGAGAGCCAGTAACTCCTCCACAGGCTGAAACTGCTCTAAGGACACGCCCTCCTCACAGCTAATGATTTTATAACAATAGGAGACAACAAAGATAAGAAATGATGAGTAGAAATAAATATTTAAAGATAAGCTCTTTACTAAAGATAAATAAAGCTTCCTCTGTGCTGGCCAACCAAATTGATTTTATATGAAACATTTCATTACTTGAAGTGGTTGTATCCTAATAAATCCCACTTAACTTTCACTAATGTGCATCTCCTTGCTTAAAAAGACCAACAAAACAACAATACAATTCTTTTAACATATTTAGTTGTCTTTAGATAAGTATGTCTGCTTAATATGTTTAAATTGGGTATCATTAACTTCAGCTTCTGTTTCATTGTCTTTTGTGTCAGCGACCTTTATTCTCACCGTTTCAGGATATTCTCGAGGGCCTTGTAACCATTGTTTGTGTCAAACTCGATGAAGAGGGCTGGACTGAGGTGATAGGTGTCTCTAATGAAGCTAAACACAGCCACAGCCACCTCAGCTAGCAGTGATCCTGAGACATCACCAGTGATGTGCAAGAGGTTCTGGATGCAGATGCGAACACAGTTTTTGCCTAATAAGAAAAGCAGTGTTCTTGGTTAGCGAATTGACAACAACATCCATTTTACAGTTTACAGTTCAATCAAACAATTTTTTTCAACCACACTTCTTTATAGCAGTCTTGAATAGTGACTTAATAAAACGTTTTTCTTAGTGCAAAGTTCAGCAAAGTTCCCCATCTGCAGTAGAATGTTAATTCCACAGCAAAGCGGCACAGAGTCAATTGAGCAAAATACCACATGGAAAAGTGTTGATAGCATCTTGGTATCCAAAATAAATTGAGTAAACCCATGTGCACTAGAACATTCGAATGAATTATTTGTGCTTATTAAGGCTTCATGTGACTTTCAGTACAACTCTGTTGAGATGTTAGATCATGTTTCTTGCTATAATTAATTCATTACTGCACAAATCACTTCCCACTCATGCTATTATGTATCCTGTTTTGACACAATATTTAAGAGTGCAATGAGGCCTATTACAAGTAAGAAAAAAAATCAATTAGAAGACTATACTTGCTACAAAAATGTTAATTACTGCAAATATTTGTGTTTTATCTTACCTAGTAAGCTGGGGACAGTGTTGCTTGTTGCTACAGCAGAGACTGCTTTGAGGATGCGGGAGGCTTGATACCTCCAGGTGGCACTGGTCTGATCCCATAATGATGTGAGACCAATAATAAGACACTGCAGTTCCTGAGTCTCTACCAGTATCTCCACGTTGACTGGCAGCCTACACAGCTGAAGAATAACCTAAAAGAGAAAGACAAGAGAAGTATGGTTTGTCAAAAATTGGGGGAAGAAGAAAATGTAAGTTTGCACAACAGAAAACCAAAATCACAGAAATAAAAATAACCCATTGCCATCTAAAGGGAGAAGTCAGTTGTTACTAACCTGTGTTAATGTTTCCTGAAAGGTTTCTTCTATTCTGATGCTCTCCTTTTTAGATGGAAGGCACACTAGAAGGTACAGACATTTCATCAAAGCACCAGGGAGTTCTTGATTTATACATGACAGTATATCCTGAAAACAAACACATAATTAATTCACCTGATCAACTAAAAATATGGAGTAGTAACCCGACTGAAACTTTACTATGCTTTAAAACTGTTAATGACTCACTGAGCTGTCAGCTGTAAGCAGCAAGAGAGATTTTAACAGCAGCCATCCTAAACTTTCTTTCATTTCATGATTTGTGTCATTATCTGGCCTCTTGAAGAACTGCACCACCTTTTCACGGGCCTCCTCTGAGAGATTAAAAACAAACAAATTAAACAGATTTATTGTGACAATCTGAAGGCATTAATGCAACTCAAAAACAGTTTGCTCAATTTAGTTCTTTACCATGTGCTTAGCTGGCATAATCATAAATCCAAATTAACAAACAGATATTTTTTTAAGTTAGAAGTGTTTCAGTAAAGTATAACCAAATAGAATTTATTTAATACACAACAGTTTCTAGTAAATTAATTTAAAATGAAATGAAGGTTAAAATTGAGAAGAGGTAAATCACTAATAAGATACTACAGGGACCATGCTGGCCTTTTTCTAAATTAAATCACGTGTCTAAAAGAAGAAGCATTTACTTCCTCAAATAACTTTCTCTTTCTTATCTAAAGAAATATACAGTTTCATAAACAAGGGGCAACAGTTGGAACAGAGAGTAAGACAGCAGAGAGACAGAGAAATAGAAATATAAAACCAGAAAAGTGGTAACCTCTTTCTGTGTTTTCATAATTATCGAACAGTCTGCATTACACTGTACTGCATGCTTTTGATTTTCAATATGCATCCCATTTACCAAGTGGCCAAAATAACTGACTGAAAAAATAGCGACACCCAGAAATAGCAGAAGTAGGTGGAGGAAAGTCCCAAAGTCTTAATTTACTGTGCTATATTTACTGTAAGAAGCAGTACCTGCAGGTCTGTCTGCCAGTCTCTTGTGGACAATGCTGATGACAGTGTCAGCAGTGAGAGCTGCGAGCCCCTTGATGTCCAAACCTTCAAATCGGCCACCATCTTCACAGGCCTGGAATCGAAGAATAGAAACCATCACATGTATTTTGACTTATGTCGTCATGATGCCAGGTCTCTCTTGGAAATTAGATTTTTAATCTCAGTGAGATGTTTTACCTGGATAAATAAAAGACTAATAAAAAAAATAAGAAGAAGAAGATGCTGATTTTTGTAAATGTAGCCATGTACTAAGTTAGGTGTTGTTCACACCATTTCCCGATCTCTATACAACAAAATACAGTCCCAATACCTCTCTGAAAACCTTTAAGTAAAAACTGAGAACAGAAATATTGATTTGGATTTGATGTACTGTCAACATGTTTGATGTAACCAATTTAATTAGTAAGAGTTCTCTCTGCGAATTACTTTGAAACTGAGTGTAAGAGTAAGTTAAAATGCAACTGATTCAGTAGCAAATCTCGTCAGCTTGACATTAAGATAACTAATATTTTACTTAACTAAGTACTTGGCATTAAGTTAAGTAACATATTACATTTAGATCGTTGTTTTATACTATAAATAATGAAAGGTACCACACACTATACAGTCTTCAGTTCCATGAGAAAATATCAGATTTTACTTAGTTTGCTAAAGATGGACTTATGAGGTTGTGAGGTTTTCACATACAACCACACACAGCCATCAGGTTCCGTGTGGTTGTATGGAGACTAATTATGTCTGCATTTGTAAGAACACAGTGGTGAAACAGTGCATGCAAGTGTTACAAAAAAACAGTAAGGGTTCCTCATAACTGGGATGCATCGAGAGAGGAAAAAAACGAAAAACCTCTTTCACCAGTTAATCAAAGTAAGGCATGAAGCCACCAATTTAAAGGAGTTTTTTATTATTATTATTATTATTATCTAAAGATACAGGAACAACATACACAATAGTTCGGGAACCATTCAGTGATAAGATCACCTAAGGTTGAAACATCTGACTGTCATCTAATGTTGCTTTAAGTCTTCATTCCTGGGGTTTAAAGCATTTCCAGATGCCACACTGTCTCCAGCAATCTACTTACCCATTTCAAAGTTGATTATAAATTTGAACTTAGGCCCCACTGCAAACTGGAATGGCATAATCTAATAAAGGCTCTCAAGAAGAAAATTTGTTGTGTGTTATACAATATTCAGAAATACATAACATGCTTGGTAGACTACTGAGGTGCAAGACATAATTCTGAAAACAAAAAACAGAAGAACAATCCGTGGCAAGTATGCACTTATTTGCTTATAGTGGTCTATACCTGTATGTATAGAGGCAGGACTTTCCGCAGATGGTCCTTTCTTTGCTCCAGAGTAACAGCTCTGTGGTCAGGGGTACAGGCTGTTTGAATTCTCAGCTCCTGCAGTTGTTCTTTGAGCACTTGTGTGAGTTGAGGGTTGCTACAAGAGCCCTCCACTTTCTCTGACTTCAACTCCACAGAGACTGTTAACTCTCCCGAAGCACTCAGCTCTCCAGTTTCCTTATTGATCCTCTCCCCTCTAAAGGTTTGCTCCTGGAGGGGGTAAGAAAAAAAATATGACTGTTCCATCTTTTTTTTTTTTTTTAGATACAGCAAGGTTATATAATCTTCACAATATTATCTAATCACATTTTCTTCACTTGTGTCACTCAGTTTAATTTGTCCCAAGCTAAACCTTCTGCCGTCAACCCTGGTCACACTGTCTCAATTGAGAAATAGGCACAAGGACAAACCACTGGCAGTCATGTGCCATTCTCATTTACTGATTACCATCTTTATGAAGGGTCTGCATTTTACAAAGGATGTCCAACTTTCAGTACTTTGAGAGCTACTGTGTGATACTTTTCACGCTTCACACGCACCATTGCTTTGTCAAAAAAATAAGACTGATCTTTTGCTAAGAATAGGCCGGTGGTGTAGTGTTAAATGACCAGCACCAGTTATCGCTCATGTGAAAATGACACAATAAGCACTCCTAAGGTCAATTCAATACAACTGCAATTCCAAAATCAAAAGCTTGTTATCCTTATAATAGAACAACATTGTTGGGAGTAAGTGACTCTGAATAAGCCCTTTATTTAAATACTGCGAGGCAATGTGTTTCACTTCTGCTTAACAGCATATCAGGAGGTGAGGAGTTTTACTGCTAAACATTCATGCCATTGTACTGCATGGCAATTGTAGCCAGAGTGTCGTTTCCATATTACAGTTGCTCTATTTCGACTACTTTCCATTTTGAATCGCGTACTCATAACGAACAATGGTGGTAAGAATCAGAGGGCTTAACTTATAGCCAACACATTTTGTTACAGCTGTAAGTAAAGTAAAAGGCAGCTCATATTTCCCACAAAATTCATGAATACTTAGATGCAACGGATCATTCTTTACCTGAGTTTGTGTAAGAGCCATCTGGGGTTTTCCTGGCACTAAGGTGATGTTGTCATCTGTGTTGTGTTATTCCAACTATTTGAGTGGTCTGTTTCTGTTCCCATGTCAGGAGGAATAGACAAGAAGAAACCTGCTAAGACATGACTGGTGCATACATTGCAGCCCCCTTTGTAAAAGTACCCGCCCCTTACTAATCTCCACCAAGTAGACTGAACTTTGAGCAACTCAAATCAGCTGGTGCGAGTCATGTGCTATCCCACTTCCTTAGAGAAGCAGAAGTGAAATAACAGTTGTTTAGCTGGTTAGATGTGGCCCTCCCACTGCAGCACAAAGAAACGTCCCTTTTCTTTTTATAGACCGGTCTTGTAAGGTTGTTGTGATATTTAATCACAGTGGCATGGCCCATGACTCACCAAAAAAAAGCCACAAACCTGGCTTTGAGTCACGAATTGGCGTGAAGGAATTGACTTGCTGGTGGAACAATTAGAAACAAAGAGCTTTTTGTTTGTTTGCTGGTAATAAATAGAATGGCTGGACTGTTTTGTGTTTAGGAAGGACTTTTCAAAACCAACCTATGAGAAGAGCAACCCATGCAAGTTGACAGTTGATGTATTTATATGCTAAAGTAGTATTTTAAATACAGAAACTAGCCTTTAGCAACGTTGCAGAACACACCACAATTCGTGAATGTGAATTAAAGCCAATAAACACAGCAGAAACTCTGCACACAGACGTGTGCGGCACTTGAGAAGTGTTTAGCTAAATGACTAAATGGCGCCATCTTGTGAGTATTGATGATACAGAAACGTGTCATCAACAGCAGTTGGGAGTAAAAGAAAAGGCTCAAAATTACACAGACTTTCAAGCTTGATAAGTTAGTGAACCGGTGTTTTTCAGTAAAGAGAGCAGAGACGCTGATGTAGCAAAGAAAATGGCTTAGTAATGTCCTTCCGCATAGCTCAGTATTAGTACTGAGATTAAGTATCACAAGTGAAAATGCCTGCACTTAAAGGGGGTTCCAGAATTAGCGAATGCAAATTAAAGAGTAAAGATAACAGTGTGGCTATGGAAATCACACATACGTTTTCACACATATGAGTCAGCTCCCCAGCCAAAGTTGCCCTCTCTTTTGTAGGATCAAGCCGTCATATAGTAACCACTTTCAAAACGAGAAGTGTTAACCAACCTTTGTAAGCTGACGACTTGTGCAACTGACGAGCTCCTTCCGAGGTTCAAAACCTGGACTCTTATTTTAGCCTCCGACTCCAACATGTTCACCTCCTGAGCACTATAGGTTAAACCATGCTATTCTTACGTAATCTTACACGACTAAATGCAAGGGGCAAATAATAAAAAATGCATGTTCTCTTTTCCTTGAGTATATGCCTTACACTTTCATTAAATGTGGTGTTTGCATTTCTTTTACACTATTCTGGTAAGTTCCCCAGGTTACTTTCAGTTTACTAGAGGTGGGCGGGGCCATCCAAATATCGATAATATCGATACCAACACTAGCATTGAGATCGGATCAATATGTTGTTTCTATCCTCTAAGTCAGGTACTCTGGCATACAGGGCATTTTCCCAATAGGCCGATGCACTTTTCGGCCGATGGGCCGGCCTGAAGAGCCACCCAGTGGATACAAGCACTTACAGCCCATTCCCTCCTCTACCTTTGCTGCACACTCATGCAGCTTGTAGAAAAGGTTCAGTGTGGAAGAAGTGGGTTAAAGATGAAGCTGGAAAGCTGAGATAAAACAATGAAAAGAAAAGAAAAATAAATGCAGCCCAATGTGTCAAATTAACCAACATGTTAACTATCTGGGCTGCTGCACCATGAACAGTAGTACCAGCAACAACTAGTAACCAGGCCTCATAGTGACAGGAGGCTGATTCTGATGCACCATCTGTGGAGAAGTGAGGAAGAGATGGAGGAAGACTAAATTAACACAAGAAAATAGATGAAGGGAGATAATTAGGAAGGGAGGTATTCAAAGAGTCGGGAAAATGAATGGCTACTTTGACTGTTATTTTTATTTATTTTTTAAGAAATCGTGAAATAGGATCATCTATGATTTATTTTCAAAACGACATTCTGCTTTTCCCCACACAAGCTGTCATTATGGTTTTAAAGTATTGGTACTGGTATTAGTAATAGTTGGTATCGGAGCACAGCGTTACTGCTTACTTTGGAGGCGTCATGGTATTTATAGCGACCACGTGCTTTGGGCAAAGCGCGGCCACGTGACACCTTGCAACCAATGCGGTGTCCAGGGCGTGGATTGCCTCAATCAGTTTGACACAATGAAATATCTCGGTTGCTTTGTAGCGATACATGAGATCCCTTCTCACTTTACCTTATGATGTTGTAGCGCCGCTTCCCGGGAGTTGATTTTGCTTCCTTTGCAGTTTCTGTCGGTGGTAACATTAGAAGGTGGCCTCCGTGTACCCATCATAATGCATCCGATGCCCGTGTCCTCCGTCAGCGGTGGAGACATATTTGATTGTATACAGAGAGGAAATATTGAAGAGTGTATACACTTCGTTCAGAGTAACCGATCTATACTCAAGCAAAAAGGTAAGCTAGGAAGAGATACAGTGCAAACTTAAGATCTGGCTTTTTTTTTTAAAGGTCATTATTCAACCTTATCGCGACGGGATTTCTCGATTTCCTCATTTTATTGCGAGAAAACTGCTGAAAACATTAGTTAGAAAGAGAACGTTTATACCCACTTTATGCTGTTTGCCATGCCTGGCTTTAGAACTTTGGAATAATGTGCAAATGTGCCACCGGGAGTTAACTATAGTTTTACCGGATGTTATTGTATATTTGATCATTTTCTGGTCTCTCTTGGTTTGATTTTGCCACAATGCCAAAAAGAAACCTAACTCTGCTGCAGCTCTTCTGTGAGATGGTCTGGCACAGATCCTGTGATGAAGAGATGGACAGATCCTGTGACAACACAGCACAAAGTCACATTGTGCTGAACTACTCCAACCCCCAAACTTGAGAGGGCTTTCAGCCTCAACAGGCTGACAGTCGATGCATTTATGCCAGTCTCATATTGTTAGTCAAAGTCAGAGTTGAAGGTCAGTGTCATCAAGCTTGACTGTGTAATGTAAATGCGTTTCTCATCATTCAGGTTGGGGTGGCTTTACCCCACTCCACTATGCTGCTCTGCATGGTAACCGAGCCTTGGTCGACCTTTTCCTTAGTGCAGGAGCTGATCCTAACCTGACATGTGATGCAGGACAGACAGCTTTTCATTTTGCCTGCAGGTGAGCAGCAGCTGCATATTTAGTTAAAGCCTGGATTTTCAAGGTGAGAGCTTGATTTGAGCTTGTGCACTTTGTACTACTATCAGGCAAGGGAACATCTACATCATACATCAAATGATGCAGTACGGGGCCGATTTACGTGTCATAGACCTACAGGGAAAAACATCACTGCACCATGCGGTCACTGGGGGGAGCATGTAAGTGGATGAAACATTGTATCACAAACTTAGTCGTTTTTGCCATGGGCTACTACACAGTTATATATACAGTGCTATGCAAAAGCCCTGAACCACTCCTCATTTCTTTATATTTTGCTATAAGAATTGGAAATAGTGATCTATTGATACATGTATAAACATAAATAGAAATAGAAATACAGTATATAAGGTTGACATAGAGGATGTACAGTTCTAATAAGTTTCAAAGTCATTAGGATCTCCTTTATTCTTCAACACAGCCTGAACTCTCTTAGACAAGCTTTCTTGTGATTACTTTAAGATGACTTCAGGAATTGTTCTTCAGGCTTCTTGAAGGACATTCAAAGCTCTTCCTTAAATCTTGTCTGCCTTTACTCCCATTTTCTGTCAAAATAATTCCACACCGCTTTAATAAGAAGGTCCAGGCTTTGGTGAACCCAATCCACTGATAGTCTTTTACTATATGTGTTTCTATCCAGATATGCTTTTACTACACTGGCAGTGTGTTTGGGATCATCGTCACAATGAAAAAAGAAGCTGTTGACAGTCAGTTACTGTCCAGATGGTATTGCATGGTGGATGAAAATCCTACCATACTTTTCTGCATTCATATTTTTTACAAGATTCCCAGCACCACTGGCTGAAATGCAGTCCCAAGCCATTAAAGAGCCTCTGCCATGTTTTACAGATGGCTGTAGACACTCACTGTATGTATACTGATTTGAACATAAATAGATAGAACCAAAATTTCCAAATTTGCATTGATCACTCCAAAAAAACCCCAAAAAATAGTTGGACCAATTTTTAGTCCAGGTCAGCGTTAAGGGGGTTAACAGACAGAACATTCCTGTATGTCCTGAACAGAAAATGAGTGAAAAAGCAGCCAAAATTCAATTAAAACTACAAAAAAAAGCCTGGAGAACTATTGCTCAAGACATTTATAAAAACGAGAAGAAAGTCTGGCTTCTTGGAAGGAAGGTATAAAGAAATGTGGGGTGACTTTTGCAAAGTACTGTATTATGCATGCACTAACTGTTAGTTGTTTTTCCCAGCATTGCAGTGCACTATTTGTGGGAGACAGGAATGTTTAGGTTCACAGACACAGACATGTACCAGGTGACTCCCCTTCACCTGGCTGCATCCACAGGAAACACAGAAGTTATTCGGTATTTGCTCAAGGACCAGGTATGATACAGTTTTCACTGTCTGCCTCTTTCACCCTCTTTAGTTGTGCAACAGTATTATTACACAGTTATACACAAGATAATGCCCAATCTAAAAGTTTTAATAAAAATGTTGAGTCAAATATATATTATGTAAAAGCTGCCATACAGTCATCATACAAAAATGTACTGTGACTTTACGCTTTAGTCAACTTTTGATCTTTCTGCTTCTTTAACCCAAACATTTAGAGTATGGATTATTAATAGTGTAAATAGTGTGATTGGTTGTCTCTCACTCTGTGTGTTGCATGTAACACACAGAGTATATATTTGCATGATGAATGCATGGTTTCAACTTGTATTTTGGGGATGGAGCATTGAAGTGTAGTCACTGACTGTTTTCAAGAGCCTGAGCAGTGATTTCCACCAATGCCTGTACCTGTTTTAATGCGTCTGAAAATAATAGACATTCTGTTGATGTTTTTATCTTTTTCACTTTTTTTGCAAATATTTGTTTT